GCCAACATTACACTAATACCGAAACCAAACAAAGACTGTACAAAAAAAAGAAAATTACAGGCCAATCTCCCTAATGAACACTAATGCAAAAATCCTCAACAAAATCCTTGCCAACAGAATCTAACAATGCATCAAAGGGATAGTACACCACGATCAAGTGGGATTCATCCCAGGGGCACAAGGATGGTTCAACATACGAAAATCGGTAAGTGTAATCCAACACACACATCAACAAAAAAAAAAAAAAATAAAAAACATATGATCATATCAATAGTTGCTGAGAAAGCATTCGACAAAGTCCAACATCCATTTATGATGAAAGTCCTTGAAATTCTCAGGATAGAAGGAATATACCTTAACATGATAAAAGCAATATACGACAAACCCACTGCCAACATTATTCTCAATGGTGAAAAGCTGAAGGCCTTTCCTTTAAGATCAGGAACATGACAAGGATGTCCTCTCTTACCACTGCTTTTCAATATAATACTGGAGGTCCTAGCCAGAGCAATAAGACAAGAGAAAGACATACAAGGAATCCAAATAGGGAAAGAAGAAGTAAAACTATCACTATTTGCAGATGATAAGATAATATACATAGAGAACCCTAAAAACTCCACAGAAAAACTGCTCAAAATAATCAACCAGTTCAATAAAGTAGCAAGACACAAAATCAACACACAAAAATCAATAGCCTTCCTATACACAATCAATTGGAAGAAGAAATCAAGAAAACCACCCCTTTTATAATTGAAATAAAAAAAAATCAAATACTTGGGAATAAACCTAACAAAAGAGGTGAAAGACCTATACAAAGAAAATTATAAAACACTGTTAAAAGAAACTGAAGAAGACACAAAGAAATGGAAAGACATCCCCTGCTCAGGGATTGGAAGAATCAACATTATTAAAATGGCCATCCTCCCAAAAGCAATATACAGATTCAATGCTATTCCAATAAAAATCCCAATGACATTCTTCAAAGAAATACTGATGAGGGCCTCCTCTGGTGGCACAGCGGTTGAGCGCTGGGCTGCAAAGCTCCCTGCAGCCTCTGCAGCACTGGTTCAATCCCCGGCCACTGGCAAGGGTCCCACATGGCACGACAGACCTCTCCTGCTGCGCCCGTGCTCCCCTCAGCAGTGTACTTCCATCAGTCTGTCTGTTCTGCTCCCTGCTCTGGCTCTGGTGAATTCTCTCACCCTCCTGTGCTTCTGACTGTACCCAGTGCTTGTATAAATAAATAAATAAATAAATGTTTTTTAAAAAAAGTGCCTAACAGGTTTCAACTTATATACCACCCAATCATTTAACACAAATTTGTTGACTGTGCACTAGATACATACTCTTACACTACACACTTAAATAACAGGGATGTGACACTGAAATAAATTCCTACAAATTAGTGTGTTAAGATTGACATTACACAGGTGACATTAAAGGACTATACAAAGAGCACATATGATGGGTATCTAACCCAGTGACAAGAGGTCAGGAAAGGTAAAGGTTACAAAGCGAATACTATTTTTGGTAAACCAGCCCTAATGACTCCTGTCTTCCGATACGGACACCTTTCTGTAGTTCCCTGCTATATTATTCCAAGAGTGGTCTGTATTATCAATAGAATGTGGCGGAAACAATGAAATGCCATTTCTAAAATTAGGTTATAAAAGACACTGCGGTTTCCATGTTTGTTGCTCACTTTCTTTTAGATCATCTGCTCTGATGAAGTAAACTACTTTGTGATAAGCAGTTCTATGGAAAAGTACATGGAGTGAGAATGAAGACTCTTGCCAGCAGCCTCGTGAGCGAGCTTAGAAAGTGATCCTTCAACTTCAGTTGAAATCTTTTTTTTTTTTTTTTAAAGATTTATTTATACAAGTGCTGGGTACAGTCAGAAGCGTGGGAGGGTGAGAGTATTCACCAGAGCCAGAGCGGGGAGCAGAACAGGCAGAAGGACCGAAGTACACTGCTGAGGGGAGCAGCGGGCGTGGCAGGAGAGGTCTGCACGCCATGTGGGACCCTCGCTTGCGGGCGGGGATCGAACCGGCGCTGCAGAGGCTGCGGGGGAGCTTCAAAGCCCAGCGTTCAACAGCTGCGCCACCAGGGAGGCCCTTTAGTTGAAATCTTCAGATGACTTAAGCCCCAGACAACAGCTTGACTTCAGTCTTATAAAGAGTTCTTGGAACCCCCCATTTAAGCTACTCCCATATTCCTGATCTTCAGGAATTAGATAATAGATATTTGCTGTTTTCAGTCACTAAACTGGAAGCAATTTGCAATAGGCACCTAAGATATATTATCCCTACTTGATAGATGAAGAAACTTGGATTCAGAGAGATTATTTCTTGCCCCAAAATATACATAGCTGCAATTCAAACTGATTTCTGAAAATTTCAAAAACCGGAACGTTGCTACATTGCATCATCTATATGTTCCAACTTACCTTGTGCCACATTACTTGTTTTTTTTCGATAAAACAAGTATCTACATTATACCTACTATAAAAGACGCACTGTACTGTAGGTAATGTGCTAGTGTTACCAGAGGTAGAAGGAGGGGCTAAGTAGTATTATATCCCCATGAAATTTATACTATAATATTTAACAAGTACCTACTGAATAGTTGTTCTCAAGTACCTAGCAGCTCTCATGTTATCTGCGAGAGCCATCTAGTGTCAGTTCTGTTTAACTGCAACATGCAGTTAGCTGGATGTGAATACAAAAGTCACATTTTATGCCATTTAAAACATTTAGTACTTGCACTATGCACAAAATGATAAATAATTCCGATCTTACTTTACATTTCTTCCCATAAAAATTAGGGCTTGAATTTCTCTCAATTCTGAATGATAGAAGGTGCTCACTCAATATAAAACTGACTCTAAATAACCTACACCAATGTTTTTCTAAGTTCAGGTATTTTCTTTTCTGATTTCCAGCAAATATGCAGACTTCCAGAAGTTCTTTTGACTTAACAGAATGAAACAATAGTAATGGAAAAATTAGTAAATGAGAATATAATTGATATTCATCAATTTGCAGATTCCATATTTGCAAATTCACCTCCTTGATAAATTTATGTATAACCCCCTAATCAATCCTCAGCAGCACTTTGGCACTCGTTTGCAGCTGTGTAGAAGGGTGGACAGTCTAAATCACTCTACATACACCTCATCAGGTGAGGCTGAACAAGGTGACACTCAGCTTCCTTATTTGAGCTCTTCATCTATGAACAAGTATCCCTTTTGTTGTCCAATTCCATATTTTCACATTTTTGTGCTTTTTTTGGTGATTTTGCTAGTTAAAATGCCCCCTAAATATACTTCAGAAGTGCTATGTTGTCTTCCTAAGTACAAGAAGGCTGTGATGGGCCTCAGAAAAGACGTGTGTTAGATAGGATTTTTTCAGTCATGAGTTATAGTGCCATTGCCTGTGAACTCAATGTTAATGAATCAAAAATATTTATTAAAATAGAGGTCTTTTAACAAAAACAAAAATAGATGAAAGGTTATGTACTGATCAGTTGACAAAAATGTTATGATCGGAGGCTTTCATGTACACAGCCTGATATTTCTCCTAGAAGCAAAAAGTTCAGTTTTTGCTAATTCAGTATCCTAGTGACTCTGTAGAACATTATTACCACAGATAATGGGAATCAACTGCATAAGCTAGTAAATGATATTCTCTATTCTATTTTTATTTACAAAGTGGTACAGCAGAGAATTTAGTTATGAAGTTCTAAAGTAGTTATGAGTGCACTGAATACTGTCGGTAATTCACACAGTATAGAGTAAATTTATATAGTAATGTCTAATAACTTTGTTTTAAAAGATATGTTATGCCATAGTGTTTTTTTTTTTTAAGATTTGTTTTTATTTATTTATACAAGCACTGGGGTACAGTCAGAAGCGCAGGAGGGTGAGAGAATTCACCAGAACCAGAGCGGGGAGCAGAGCAGGCAGAAGGACCAAAGTACACTGCTGAGGGGAGCAGCGGGCGGCAGGAGAGGTCTGCGCGCCATGTGGGACCCTCACCCGGTGGCCGGGGATCAAACCAGTGCTGCAGAGGCTGCGGGCAGCTTCGCAACCCAGCACTCAACCACTGCGCCACCGGGGAGGCCCTGTTATGCCATAGTTTTGATATTCTAGTTGTATTTTTCTAGTATACATTGAAATAAAAACATCACTATTAAAAATTTTAAGTGACTGCAGAAACATTAATTCCAAAGAGCACCTGCACCCCTATGTTTATAGCAGCACTATTTACAATAGCTAAGCTTTGGAAACAACCCAAATGCCCAAAAATAGATGACTGGATCAAGAAGATGTGGTACATATACACCATGGAATGCTACTCAGCATTCAAAAAAGATAAACACATGCAATTTGCAGCAACATAGATGGAGCTGGAAGGGATCATGCTCAGCGAAATAAGCCAGAAAGAAAAAGAAAAATACCAGATGGTCTCACTCATGGCAGGAATCTAGAAAACCTAAATAAGGGACCAGGAAAAAGAATAACCATAGGAAAGAAAAAATCAAAATCAACAAACAACTATGAACCAGAGACACACTATGGGGGGCGGGGGGAGGAGGGCTAGGGGTCAAAATAAGGGGGTTGCAATTGTATGGGGAATATAAAAATAAAATTAAAAGAAAAAATTTAAGTGTCTGCATATTACCAAAACTATCTCATGCACAACCCTATGGTCCATGTACCAATACTGACACATGAATCACATTTGGGGAGACGCTGCTATGCATACCACAGAAAAAGTCATTATAAATTTTCAATAACGAAGACCCTTTTGTAATAAATAAATGTTGCAAGTTCCCACCTGGAAATAGTTATGCTTTTCTCAATTCAGATTAGGAACAGTACTATAGATTATAAAATAAAATACAGCATTCAGCATTGAGCTAGTACAAGCAAAATATGTTGGGATTCAGAGTGAATATTCTAATAAATGACATACCACAAGCAATATTTTGGTGTATACCTGTAACTGTGTCAAACTGCTGAGCTAATGGCTTAGGAGCACTGTTTTGATTCAAAGACTCTGTCTTAGTGACAGGCTGCTGTATATAAACAGAATCTTCCATTAAAACGTTCTCTGTTACTGCTGTCAGCCTGGGCCTTTGTCCTTCACTAAGTTCACCCATACTATTTTCAAAATCCTGCAAAAAATAGACAACTGTTAGAACCATTACATTAAAATCAAGTCAAAACAGGAAATATTTATCAAATACTATTATCCAGCTCACTCGACTACTTGAAAGATTATTTAGAAAGTACTTATGCCATGTGTACACTACCTGAAAGACAACCTTAAAAGATACTTTAACAAGGCATCTAAGAAATAGAGTTTGCTTTTAATATCTTATTTTTCATGAAGTAACCAGTTTTTTAGCCTACAAATTAGATAGCAATAAAACATGAAAGAAAAATTTTATTATTTAAAACACTAAATATGAGACACATTGTGCATTGTTCATGGAGCTTAAAGTTAGAATAACATTATCTCATTCTTCTTGAATAAAACTGGCTAGTTGTTAGTGTGAACTTTATAATCAAATTATAAATAAAACAATTTTAAATAAATGAGAATATGACTTAAATGACAAAATTAACTATACCAAGTTACTTTTTTTGTTTTTTTTTAATTTATACACGCACTGGGTACAGTCAGAAGTGCGGGAGGGTGCGAGAATTCACCAGAGCCAGAGCAGGGAACAGAACAGGCAGACTAATGAAGTACACTGCTGAGGGGAGCAGCGGGCGGCAGGAGAGGTCTGAGCACCATGTGGGACCCTCGCCCGCAGCCGGGGATCGAAACGGCGCTGCAGAGGCTGTGGGCAGCTTTGCAGCCCAGCGCTCAACTACTGCGCCACCGGGGAGGCCCCATACCACGTTACTTTTATTATAGATACATAGATCAAATAAGTCTACTTTAGCCATATTTAATAAAGTTCTTTTCCCTAGGAAAATGCAAAAGTATAAATATGTTTATCAAATATACCAGAGAAATAAAAAACTAGAAACAATTATAACTTGTTTTCTTTCTGTATTAAACATTATGTATCATAAAAGCTAGCACATTTCTAATTAGTTAGCTTACGAATCAAGAACTGAATAAAAATTGTAATATCTGAAAAGTGCTCATGTCTTTTAAAATTTTAAATTCAGTCAACTGAATGCTTTTTTTACTAGAATATATAAAGAGATCACTGCTGAAACATCTTTGATTACTCTATTGACTACAAAATAAAATCTTCTTAGCTAAGCATTCAAGATCTTCTATAATTTGCAGCGATTCTTCTCCATACATTTCCTAATCTGACTTCTTTTTAAGAATACCAATCACTGGACATTCTTTAAATAGAAAAGTATTCCTTTACAATTAATATAAAACCCTTACAGACTAGGCAAAGTTTATAATAATGGCAGATTTCCCTAGAAATTAATTAGAAGTATTTTACTGTATTATTGTGTCATACCACATAAAATATTGTATAATATATAGTATCTTCTTTATTGTGAATCAATACGTGTTTATAACTGCTAAAATATTTAATATCTTAATGCTCTATGATCCTAATGAAGACTTAACTTGCCTACTCACAAAATGAGCTCATACTCATAATATCATTTTTGCATTATACTCAAAGCTCAGAATTATGTCAATTCTAAGTTTGGCTATCTATAATCTCTAATAATACACCTATTGCATCCACATAAATGTACATATTGCAGTTTGCCTTCGGACTACGCTCACTGACCTAAAGTCTCCTCTGGGCACAAAGTTTTAAGCACAAAGTAAAGCTGCTACTTTTTTTTTTTTTTAAGATTTATTTATGCATACAAGAGCTGGGGTACAGGCCAGACATGCGGGAGTGTGAGAGGATTCACCAGAGACAGAGCAGGGAACAGAACAGACCAACTGACAGAAATACACTGCTGAGAGGAGCAGCAGAAGAGACAGGAGAGGTCTGCCTCACCATGTAGGTTGCTCCCTGGCCGGCTGGGGATTGAACTTGTGCTACAGAGGCTGCGGATTGCTTCAGAGTGCGGTGCTTAACCCCTTGTGCCATCAGTGAGGCCCAGCTGCTACTTTCTTAACAAACTAATACTCTAACTTATAAACGTATCATTATTACTAGTTCTTACTATAAACAAAACGTAATCGTCTTATAAATTATGCAAATATGCTAAATGCAATTGTTAATCAGACTAGCAAAAATTTAAGATTAAAAGTGTTATCTGTGTCATGGGAAAGAAGTTTCATGTAGGGCCTCCCCGGTGGCGCAGCGGTTGAGCGCTGGGTTGCGAAGCTGCCCGCGGCCTCTGCGGCGCCGGTTCGATCCCCGGCTGCTCCCCGGCCACCGGAGGAGGATCCCACATGGTGCGCAGACCTCTCCTGCGGCCCGCTGCTCCCCTCAGCAGTGTACTTCAGCCCTTCTGCCTGCTCTGCTCCCCGCTCTGGCTCTGGTGAATTCTCTCACCCTCCCGCGCTTCTGACTGTACCCAGTGCATGTATAAACAAAACAAACAAATATAATAAATAAATAAATAAAAAACATGCCTCTATAAAAAAAAAAAAAAAAAAAAGTTTCATGTAAAGAGCAATTTATTACCATCTATTTAAATTATAAATGTTTGGTGTCTTTTGAGCCAGTAATTACACCCAGCATTATATAATCTAGAGAAATAATTCCTTATAAATTCAAAAGAGGATTTTATCTTACTCTAGTATGAATAGAGAAAAATTAGAACCAATTTAAAAATCCTTCAACAGGAGAACAAGTAAACTATGGTGTATGCATGTAAGTATGTATAGGTATATATATAAGTACAAAAGGCTACATCCTGGGAAGGAAAGTGTGGACAGGGGGAGTTGAGGGGAGTAATTGGAACAAAATGTTTGCCTCTTTTCCTCATTAACTTACTATCACTGCTTAACTTACTATCACTCATAACGATCTTGACGAAAAGCTGGGCTGTAGATACAGGTACCCAGAGTAACAGCCAGAGAATGGAGGCCCAAGTTAGGGTAAAAAGTTGCAGGTGAAATCTGACCAGGAATCCATGCATACTTGTTCCTTCGAAAAACATCTCAATGGGGGTCAGATTGCCCAAGACTTATCATGGCCTAAAAGATTCTCTATGATCATCCAGTTCAACCAACTTCTCCAGACTTATTTCTTCATCTAAAGCTCTAGACACATGGAGATTTTCAACCCATTAAATAAAGTGTCTAAAGTGTCCTCTCCCTACATTGTTATCTGGCAAAATCCTACTAGGTCTTTAAAGATTCACATCAATATCATATCATACCAGTATGAAGTATCAATCTTCTAGTAGTTTCCCCTCTTCCTCTGCACTCATATATACTTACAGATGTGCAGATTTGATCAGTTATCCCACTATGAGTAACTGTTTAATTCCTTTGTCCCTACATGACTGTTAGCTGCTTAAAGGCAGGCCCTTTTAAGCAGCTTTGTAACTTTTCCAAGGTTTTATCTGGCATACAGTAGATACTCTGTAAATGGTTGTAGATAAAAAGCATGAATAAGTGAGGCGCTTCAGTTTTTTTCAACTGTAAAGCAAGAGGGCTGGAACAGGTAACCTAAATTTCCTAAGTAAAGGATACTTAGGTCCAGACCAAAGTCATTATAAAGCTGACCCCTGAATAAGCTAAAGTATTAGTACACTTTAACTATAAGTAGGAATATTCCTATTATTTTTTCTTATATTTAAATCTAATAAAAATCATTAAAGTTAAAAAGTACCTCTGAATGACAGACTGATTGCTGTGAAACTAATGATTCCTGGTTTTGTTTAGCAAGAAAAGAAAGAACTGCATCTTCAGGAAATTTTTTACTGGACATCCTAATCACTTCGCCTTCACTGGGAGGATCATCTTCCTAAATAAAATATAAAGATAATTTACAAAAAATTCAATCAAACAATTTTCTCAGTTTATAATCATTATTAGCAGAAAGCATGAAAATGGTCATATTGGTACTTTATAGACTCTTTACAGTTAATTCTTATTCCCATTTGATTGTACTAAAAGCCTCAAATATAAACATTATAAAATAGTATTGCTATATTTAAACTGGGGATAAATGCTATAAAAACATTTAATAATCTGCCCCATGTGATTGAGTTTCAATGATTCATAAATGTTTTATATAGTGTCATCATGTTTCTGGTTCACATGCTTCATATTTATGCAGTTAAAGTGATGTCACAGTGTGGCAGTGAGAGGAAAACACTGTAGTAATACTGTGATCTGGAGTGCAGGCAGGAATGAAAAGCTGCAGGAATATGTTAAGGCATGTGCAGACTCCCTCTGCCTTTGTGCTAACCTCTGGCACTTTTCTGGGGAGCAGGTAAAGAAAGCTGTCACCAGAGTGACCAGTGTAGGCTTCTTGATGTCTCAAAACAGACCTGTCCCCAAAATGAGGGACAAAAGTGATCCCTGGAGTCAGAGAAACTGAATCCCCTTATAAATATAAGTATCAACATGATTTTAAATTCTATTAATAGTATTTTTCACTTACATATTTTATTTTTAATGAAATAAATTAACTTCAGATAACAAGTTCTTATCAAACCTCATTATATATAGATAAATGCCTAGTGGTAGATGACTTCAAGTTATTCTTAATCTCTCAAGACTGTGCTTCTGCATTTGACTTTACTATGAAATTGTAGCATATCTAATCTAGGCTCAATAAAAACATCAAAGCCAGAATTTATTTTCAAATAGTAAAGGATACTATCAGTTAGTCCAGTCAGCTTAGCCATTTATTTTATTTTTAAAATTTTTTTACATCATTGTTCATTTTTAAACAATATTTGCTTCCCTCCACCACCTCAGGCATAGTCCCCATAGAGTTTCCTTCACCAGTGCACGCATACACCATCACTTCAGTCCCCTGTGCTCCTCCCTCCCTCCCTCTGATCCCTCTCCCATCTCCTCCCTTGCAGTATGGCGCTGATTTATAATTGTTAGTTTTTGCTTTGCTGTGTTTTGTACTGTTATTATTTTTTTACACTGATGTCTTACTTGGTTCCCGTATATTCCTGCTATAAGTGAAACCATCCCATATTTTTCTTTTTCCTTCTGTTACCCATTTATTTTAAACAAACTTAAATATTTTCTCTGATATTAAAGACCTCTCCATTATGTCTCCCCCCTTTTTATTTCATTAATGTGATTTCATTTTCTTTATAATGAATGAAATTAACTACTTGTAATAAATAATTGCTGTTAGAAAATTATTCCATTAAAATGTTATATAAACATCCTTAGTGAATTATTTCATGCTTCTGTATGTAGTAAAGCAAATTGTTTTAAATCTTATTATTTGGACATATGTATTTTCAGATTCATCAATTTCATACTACTAAGAGCCTTTAAGTATAAAGGCTATTTGCTGGACTAAAGAAATGCTCTGCCACACACATTCAGCCCCTTGCCAACTTAATCTTTAGGATTCAGACAGCCCCTAACAGAACTCAAAATAAAAAGTTAATGCCTCATAATGAAAGAGGTATTGTGGATTCATACAAAGAGTTGAGAATCTGTCACTTGATAACTATGTGACACAGAGAAGTCATTTAGCCTTATTCAACTTCATCTAGAAAATAAGTAGTCACATATTTTTAAAAAAGAGATACACATCAGAATGCCTGGGAGATTTTTCCAAATATACAGTCTAGGCTTCTAACCACCTACACACATGCATACCACACAATCCCAGTCACCTACAGAATCAGTCTATTAGAGGGTGGAGCCAGCATGCATATATATTTTAAAATGCTCCACTGGTAAATTTAATACACAGTCCTCTTTTTTTTTTTTTTAAATGCTATTTTTTTTTAGATTTATTTATTTATTTATACAAGCACTGGGTACAGTCAGAAGCGCTGGAGGGTGAGAGAATTCACCAGAGCCAGAGCAGGGAGCAGAACAGGCAGATGGATGAAGTACACTGCTGAGGGGAGCAGCGGGCGAGACAGGAGAGGTCTGCAGTCAATCATTTCTTACCATTTCAATGGCATCATGCAGGGTACTAGATAAGCTATCATTTAAGTATGTCAGATATTGTCCTCCATCTCCTAAAACTAGAAATTAAAATATAAAAATTTACAAAAAGGAAGAAACATAAATTGAATAAATAATGTGACTATAAAGCCATAGGACATTACATTTAAATTTATACAATAAAAATACTGGCAACATTCATAAACATTAATTCACAAGCTATTCGATCTCATCGGTATTTTAAAAAATACATTTTATGACAAAGATGATTTCTGTTCCGCCAACCAGCCGCTCAGAAATTAAAAAGAACTGTAAATATCAACTGTAACTATGAAATTGATAGAGAAGCAACCTATACTCTATTCATGTAATTAAAAATTAATTATCTTTCTGAGGGGCATGTTTTAAAATGGATCAATATTTTATTTATTTTTTTAAAGATTTATTTATTTATGCATATAAGAACTGGGGTACAGGCCAGAGGTGTGTGGGGGGGGGGAGTTGGAGTTTGAGAGAATTCACCAGAGACAGAGTGGGGAACAAAACAGAGAGACTGACTGAAATACACTGCTGAGGGGAACAGCAGGTGAGTTAGGAGAGGTCTGCTGCACCACATGGGTAGCTCCCTGGCTGGGTTTTGAACCCATGCTGCAGTGGCTGCAGATAGCTTCACAGGTTGCGACTTAACCCCTTGCACCACCAGGGGAGCCCCCTGTATCAATATTTTGAAGGTGTAAACTTTGATTCAGCAATTCCATTTCTAAGCATGTATTTTAAGGAAGTTACATAAGTTCCCAAAGATAAAAAAAAGATAGTCACTGGAGTTACATACAGTATAGAAACATTGAAAATGATTAAATGCCTATCAGTATGGCATTTAGTAGTCTAAGAGACTACACAGCACTAAAAAGTGAAGTAGCGCTGTATGTATTGACATTGAAAGATATTCACATTATATTATTAGGTAAAAAAGTTCAGATTTCAAAACATTATGTTATGGTATGATCTGATTTTAAAGGCAAACACACACATACCTATATCCATATATGCACAGAAAATAAGAAAAGATTCAAAGGGTATACCCCAAACTATTAAGAATAGTATTATTTTTCCTTTCTGATGTTAAATCTTAAAAATTAGGTAAAGGGACCTTCCTGGTGGCACAGAGGTTAAAGACACTGCTATCAAACAACAGCCACTGCAGCACAAGTTCCATTCCCAGGCTGGCCAGGGAGCAATCCACATGGCACAGCAGACCTCTCCTGTCTCACCTGCTGCTCCCCTCAGCAATGTATTTCAGTAGATCTGCCTGTTCTGATCCCCACTCTTTCTGGTCAGTCCTCTCACCCCCTGCACCTCTGGCTTGCATCCCAGTTCTATTTATAAATAAATCAATCTTTAAAAAAGAAATTAAGTAAAAACACTTCAAACAGATATATAACTTACAAATTATCCTATCTAAGTATTACTTAGCAATTATCATAAATCTAACTAGTGAAATTAAGTAATACAAGATAACTTACTCTTAGTAGTCACTTTTAGACCATAGTTTAGCAAAATCTCTCCTTCAGAGATGGGTCTATCTAAAGTTTCAGTTTCAGTGACGGTAATGCTCAAGGTGCTCTCCATAGTTGATGAATCAGAACTTGGCATCCGTATAGGGGAAGGGGCTGTGGCATCAGCAGGAAGTGGAGCAAACAGAACTGGCTTTGGAGGTACAGGATGACTAGGGAGATCCATGCTGTTAGGTTCTTCATCCTTAGCCACAGACATTACACTAAGAAGAAAAAGATATATTTTGAACTTTCTATGTCACTGAATGTTTATATTAATTTTGATATAAGTTTTGAAGGTAATATATATCCTTTAGCAAATACTTCTATAATCTGAACTACTATAATTATTTTTCCAAAATGGTTTTCATGTTTTAATCATAGGCCATCTTGAAAGTTCTACCATCTATAAATCTACATGGGGATATGTAGTAATATAAAAGTTAATTGATCATAGTAAATTAAAATTCACAGTGGGGAAAAGTCATTTTCAATTGTATCAACAATATGTTAGATATCTTTCTTTTAATATTTTTTTCCCCAAAAAAATAATTCAAAAAAAACCAGCCTAAGCACTGCGGGATCCTTTCTGCTGGCCCCAGGCCCTCACCCCAGGGTGTCTGGAGTGTCCCCACTGCTGAAATGGATGCTGTCCCTTCAAGGAAGTTTTACGTCCGGCCCAGAGACTTTGTTTTCCGACTAGCCCAGCCAGCCCTGCACCAGCTCTTCAAATGCACTATGCTGACCGCGAATCGTGTGTTCGTTTTTTCTTTCCCTGTTTTTATTTTGGTATCAAGTCGTTGCCTTTATTTGTAAAGCTGTTATAAAATATATATTATATAAATATATTAAAAAGGAAAATGTTTCAGATGTTTATTTGTATAATTATTTGATCTACAAAGTGAGAAAAAAAAGAATGTATTCCTGCTTTTGAAGAGAAGAATTTTTTCTCTAGGGAGAGGTACAGTGTTTATATTTTGGAGCCTTCCTAAAGGTGTGAAATTGTAAATATTTTTATCTATGAGTCAATGTTAAGTAGTTGTTTTAAAATACTTAATAAAATAATCCTTTTCCTGTGGAAGAGAAAAAAAAAAAAATAGCCTAAGGTAAATCTGGTAAAGATTTTTAAAAATGTAAAATTCATAAAATTTCTTTCTAAAGTAATAAATAGCTTGTGATTTGGAAAACTTCATTTACAATTTCTGATGTCTTCAATGGGTCACATAAACCAACTAAGATGATAGCACAAATAAAAGTGAATGAATATATTATCACTTACATAGCCCTTGGGTGAAGTTCTTCTTGAAGAGAGTTAGGATTCTCTTCTTCCAGTGGCAGGTCTCCATCACTCCATGGCTTGGGAAGCTCTGGGCTTGATCTCTTCAATTTTTCAATGGATATCTCTGACAAAGTTGGGGTAATAGCTGCTGCGGGAGGAGGTGTAGTAGCAGGGGTAATTGTTGGAGTATTAACAAGTGTGATGGCAGGCATATCAATTCCTAGAGATACTTTTTAGAGGAGAAAAAAAAGATAAAAATTAACAATGCCATCAGAAGGCAAGATAAATTATTTTAGTAATCCCTTAACATTTTGGAATACAAATAACGGCAATAATAATTTATGATAGCCATTAATAGGAAAATTCCCAAAATGTAAAAAAGTAACCTTAAAAAAATTAACCACTTTTAATGCCCTCCTACCCTATACTTAAGGTAGTCTTAAGTATCCTTCATTTTATTGCAATAAAAAATTACCAAAACCTAGTGGCAACAGGTATGTGTATACTAATCTATAAAGTACCTTAAAAATAATCTATAGGACTTCATTTAATAGTTGCTAAAATTAAAACAGTTATAGAAATAAGGTTTCTACCTTTTTCAGCAAGTATTTCTCCCACAGGAACAGCTATATCATGATCTGAATCACAGGGGGAAGAATCTGGAGTTTTCACCAATATATACTCCTTAGGAAGTGATGAAGGGGAGCGAGGAGGGGTTGGCTGTGGGGTAGCCACTGGGGTACACACTCTTTCCTAAAACAAATAAGTAAAACAAAATAAGTGGTACTTATAATCACCTAAATAAAGGTAATCTTGAACAAAACTGAGTTCATTCAGAGATTACAGAGAACTTAGATGGGGGAAAAATGGAGGCCTAAATACCCCAATTCTTGAACAGAATTCTAGCTGTTATTTTTGAGTCTGGCCTAGCAAAAGTCTCAGGCAATTGAACAGCATTGCCTATGAAGTAGGCTCCAAAGCAATCTAAGGATCCCTGTGCCAATATAGAGAGGATGATTAAACAGTTAGAGCTAAAGATCAAGCCCACACACAGATTGGATGGGTCAGCCATGTGACAGAAAGGAAAACATTTTGACTGGCTGACAAGATAACAAAAAGCAACTTTTCAGCAAAAAAAACAACATAGCCTGTATAAAGCGATGAAGACAATATGGAGATGGAAATCACTGGGGAAGAAAAAAATTAAATACTTTAACATTATTTTGTTAAATAGGCAATCATTCAAATGACTCAAAATTCAAAAGGTATAAAAGGAAGATAGTGAATATTAGTCTCCTTTCCTACCCATCTGTCATCTACCTAGTCCCTTCCATGGAGTTACCAAATATAATCTTGGATTTAGGTCATTTCATATATATATATATATATATATATATATACACACACACACACACACATACATATATGAAATATTCATATTCATACATATATGGAATAAATTCCTAGAAGTGGGACTATTCCACTAAAGAGCTAAATGAACTTTAAATTTGAATGCATACTGTTAAATTTCCCTTCCTCTACAGGGTTGTATTATTTTATACTGCCACCAGAAGATAATGAGAGCTCCAGTTTCTCTAAAGTTTGCAAAACAAAGGCATTATCATACACTGAGTTTTACCAATCTGATTAGTTAAAACGGAATTTCAGCTAATTTTTTCCTTATTATCAGTAAGAGTGACCATCTTTTTATGTTTATGTATGCCAACTGTATTGTGTGTGTGTGTGTGTGTAAACTGTCTGGAGAGTCCTTTGTCAATTTTTCAAATACAGCATTTTTTTTTCCTTTCATTCTAAAAAGTTTTTATATAGTGAGGTGTTTAGTTAACCTTTATTCTGTATTATGAGTTACAAGTTAATATATGCATTTCTAAGTCCATGAAATATCAAAAGTTTATCGTATTGCTTATTACCATGTTCTTAATGTTGACTTGTAAGTGAAAGACATGTACTACACACATGCTTTTCTTTACTGCATAAACCTATAGCTTAAGAACACTGTCTTCAAATATAACTCATTATGAGAGGATCTGAAAGTGTTCTACTGGTACTGGTAATGGGTAATCATGACAAAAACCTACTATTTACTGGGTGTATTCACACTAAGTACCAGGCACTAGATTAAGATCTCCTGACATAGCATATCATTAAATCTTCTATAAAACCATATAATGGCTAAGAATATACAGTATCATTCAATTCTACCCAAATCAGAAGAATCAAAATTGGATTAATTTCATGAAAATTTCAATAAATCTTTTATGGAACTTAAAACAAAATTGGAAGATCAGAAAGCCAAGAAAAGTCGTGACAATTCTGAACATGACAAACAAAATAGCAGTGGGGAAGGAAGCGTGGATTAAATATTCAATAAGCAGATTTTGGTAATGTCATGGTCATTTAAGCTCTAAGAATTTATCTCCTTTACGCAGATGAGGCTAAAGTAACAGAGTTAAGAGCTCAAATTCAGATATTCCCAACTACAGAGTCCATGCTCTTAACAATTATACACACTGCCTATTTATACTGATTTTTCTACATTTTCTCACTCAATCACCACCATGAAATTATATTCTGTTATATGAGCAGAAAACAAATCAAAGTTAATTGGTGCAGAGAAAACCATAATCCTGCCAATACTGCACTGCATGCATTACCAATGAACTAAAAAAGCACAGAAAGAAACTATGTACCAAGTCTGGCACACTAACCATATCACAACCAATTACATTACACCAAGTTCCACAAAATTTAAGTATGCAATTTTATGTTTACACCTTAAATGACTTAGCTTAAATATTTCACCAATGTAATGATGCCTTTTTGATCTACAGGATCAGAAGTGACTAAGAAGTATTAAACAACTGACAATATAGAATATATATCAGTTATCAATATAATATGTTGCTGTAATAGATTAGAAACTCTAACATAGTCAGGGTGATTAGACAAACAGTAACAAAAGTGAAAAAAAACTGCCTGAAACATTTTCTTTTAGAGATTAAAAATATCAGTTTAATGGTGGAAGACTATGGGTGCTTTTTTTGGTGGTGGGAGAGCTACCATGAGAGGAGAAATCCCATACTCTCAAAAAATTAACAAGAATGTAAAACAGTGCACTTCATTGAAATAATTATTAAAAGTAACAATAAAAATAAAATACATATATTATTTTACATAATAACCAAAAGCAATGTGTGATCATGGGCTAGATGGTGAACTAAAAGAAAAATAGCCATTAAGAATTTTTAGAACAACTGGAGAAATTCGAATATGGACTCTACATTACATAATTTTAGCATTCCAGTGTTAATTTTAGGGGCATGATAATGCATGTTGGTTATGTAAAAAAGTATCCTGTTCTTAAAGAGATAATGCTGATTAGAGGTAAAGTATCATGCTATCCAGCTTTTGTATTACTTTTAAAGGTTTAGATATTATATATATCTACACACAAAAAACAAAAATATAAACGTATCAAAATGTTATTATCTGGTAATTACAGGTAAAGGGTATAGAGATGTTCATTTTATCATACTTTCAATTTTTTTATAAATTTAAAAGTTTTAAAAATAAAATGTTACTTTAATTATAGCAACAAGAAATCAATTCCACTACAAATTATGATCTTATAAAATCTTTCCATTTTAATATACTTTAATAGATGTATCAAAAATTCCCCAGTATGCCAAGTTATGAAAGGAAAGTCATGCCTACCGACACATGTGCTTGAATTGCTGAAACATCCCTAGAAACACTTGTAGTAACAGGACCTTGTTTCTGTGCTTCTCCATCACCCAGCATGACAGCAATAGTCTCAGCCAGAGCTTCATTTACAAAATGGGTGATCATGTCTGAATTTACAGGAATCCCAGCATCAACAAAAAGCTGGAGGGCACCACAGCTTGTTCCTTCCACTAAAAAATGAAAGAATTTCAGAATAAGTGTGTGTTCAACATACATGTCACCAAATCTTAATACTATAATTTTCGAGATGCAAATATATGTGTGTGAGGGCTTGGGAGGAGGAATTAAAAATGAAAATGCAAACTTATCGACTAATTATGAAAATGAAAAAAAATGGTAACTTACATAATGAACAGCTTCACTGAACAAACCAAACAATTGGAGGAAAAGGCCCCCCAGATGAAAATTTGCTTATATGGCCTCATCCCTATCACAAGAGAATTCAGTGATAAAAAGGTTTTTCATCCACATTAAATGCTCTCATCTAAAAAGAATCTACATATCCAAGAATAAGGCAACAAAAAACTCTGTGATAGATATAAATGAAACACAAGGACACAATGTGGAGGGTTTTAGAGAAAAGGCAGCTCTTCATAAAGAGCTATGAAGGCAAACCTTCCTTTCTTCTTTTTTCAGACACATCAGTTACTAACATTATAGGCTAATCCACCATTTATTATATTAGTTCAGGTACTTGTTATTAAAAGCTATAGGAATATTAATTTACTAAATGGGCTGAACTTTTCATTTATATGAATGTATATAAAAACCAAGAAAACTTTTTTATAGATTTTACTAGATTAAAGTGGCAACATTTCTAAGCTCTATATGGGAAACATGTGGACAGTGGTCTACAGGAACTTGACAGATGTGACCTCTCCAAAGAAGATACCTTAAGTGGTACAACTATGGCAGCAATATCCAGAATTCCCTAAAAATTGAGTATAGATATCTTGGGCTCACCTGCTGAAGGACAAGTAATTTACCCTCGAGTTACCATCATGAAGACTACCACAATCTCAAATTTATAATTGACAGGATATGCTGATACATCTTTTTAGTTTCTATGTTCACCTATTTAGCATGGCAAAAAAAATCAGAACATCTCTCTGATAAAATACAAAAGTCCTACCCAGACACAGGTAAAACAAAGAAAATACACATGCTTTTAAAGAGAAAAGAACAGGATCTAGATTAAATAATCTGAATTAATTTATCATCTAGTAGCTCTCATACAATCTGAGAGCTACTACAATAATGATATAAACAAAGTGCTATGGGAAATAGAGAAATTTGGAGTAGGGAGAGGATGGAGAATGGTATATGTCTGAATGCTTCAGTATGAAATAAGGGAGTGAGGAAGAATTAACTTCCACTACAGAAAACTGGGAAGTGATATTAGAAATAAGGGTTTATCTTTTGTCAGCTGAGGACTACTTTATCTACAGAATACATATATTCACAAAGACCTAAAGGTTTTGTTTTTAAGTAACAAAAAGGTTAGAAGATTTCAATTCACTTACCAATGTCAGAAGTCAATGGTTCACTTGTCTCACTGACTGAAACACTGACATTAGCTATGGCCTGTTGTTGGATTGGAAAGAGCCCAGAGATAATTCTCGACATTATTTCTTGTTCTACCCTGGAGGATCAAAGTTAAAAATTTCTGAATTTGATTGACATGTATAAGGTATTAGAGAGTTCATTAAATCAAACTAAAATCTTTTAGATTAGTCTAATGAAGTATTTTGAATTTAGGAGTAATGTAAAACAAGGCTTAGGTCAATGATATCCAGCATATGATGCACCTAAAATGTTGGATTCCCTATCTGAGAGCACACACATAAAACTACGCAAAATCAGAGCTAGCCCAAAAAAAGTCCAGTCCAAGGAAATAAATATAGACTGTACTACAGGTAGCTTTCCTCTTAAAGAGAAAATTTATTTCCAAGGTCTTTTTTGGGAAGGGGAAGAGGAGAGGAAACACAAGGAAACTCTTTCTGTACATTTCTTTAAAGCAGCTAACAGACTGCTTAAATTTATTATGCAAGTGACAGATGTTCATTGTAGAATAACTAGAAAATGTATAAAAAATTATAAAAATTATTAAGGCTCACTCATTATTTTAGATTCAGGGGTAGACACAGTTAATTTGGGAAATGTTTTTCAATTTTTTCCCCTATGCACCTATGAGTGATGTTTTATAAACTGGTTATATTAATATCCTACTTCATTTATGTACTAGCATATTATTAACATCTTTCAACATCATTAAATATTCTTCTACCCAATTCTTGACAACTTTACTAATATTTAGCTGTTTATTCCATAACTTCCTTAAGATTTCTCTCAGGCAAAAAAAGGACTAAGAGTTTATAAGTTATATAAAGAGCAAATAGGATAGAGCCTTATTTATTTTTTTTTTTAAAGATTTATTTTTATTTATTTATTTATATAAGCACTGGGTACAGTCAGAAGCACGGGAGGGTGAGAGAATTCACCAGAGCCAGAGCAGGGAGCACAGCAGGCAGAAGGACCGAAGCACATTGCTGAGGGGAGCAGCGGGCAGCAGGAGAGGTCTGCGCGCCATGTGGGACCCTTCTCCGGTGACCAGGGAGCAGCTGGGGATCGAACCGGTGCTGCAGAGGCTGCGGGTAGCTTCGCAACCCAACGCTCAACTGCTGCGCCACCGGGGAGGCCCAATAGAGCCTTATTTTTAAGTGCTTTTTGTGCTAAGTATTCTAGGTTCTACTAGCAGAACCATAACTATTTCCTTAGGATAAATTTCTAGCAGTGAATCAATGGATCAATGAACAAGTAGTATTTCTGAGGCTTCTGTTACTTAGTAAGTCTCTTGTCATATTAGATAGCCTAAATATAAGTATTTAAGGACAGAAACAATGCCTCCAACAATATGTTAAACCCTTAGTATCGCATCAATAGTTTCCAGTGACCATTGCAAATAGAAAAGTTAATGAACAAAAGGAGATAAGGAAGATTTTCTACGAAAATACTACTACTTTCCATTTATTACAATTGTTTACACTAACACTACTGTAACTCACCACTGAATTAAATTATTTTCCAATGTCTCTTTCCTCTGAATCACTTTATCCAGAACATCAGAAGTGGGCTGAAGAACAGAAGCAACTGGTGGAAATGGGGGACCATTATATTTTGTAGAAACAGCTTTCACACCTCTATTAAACTCCAGAATTGGTTCAGAGTATTCTGGAATTTCATCACGATTTTCCTCTTCCTGGTAATAATAAAAACAAAATTATTATATTCATGTATGTGTTCAACATTTATTGAATTAGAAGTATAGGCAAAGTGAATCAACACATCTTAATTAATCAGCAGCATTTCTAGGTAGTATCACATCATTTACAATAAACACATTTGTCATACAAATCCACTGAACAATTATTTTGTCTTTTCAAAACTCAGTATCATTTTAAAAAGCCAAAAAACAAATTAGAAAATTACTACATAAAATTCGTATTTTCCTGAGCCTCCCTGGTGGCACAAGGGGTTAAGACACAAACTACAAAGCTATCCACAACCACTGCAGCATGAGTTCGATCCCCCGGCCAGCCAGGGAGCAACCCACATGGAGCAGCAGACCTCTCCTGACTCGCCCGTTGCTCCCCTCAGCAGTGTACTTCAGTTAGTCTGCCTGTTCTGTTCCCCATTCTGTCTCTGGTGAATCCTCTCACCCCACCATGCCTCTGGCCTGTGCCCCAGTTCTTGTATGCATAAATAAATAAATAAATCTTAAAAAAAATTCATATTTTCCTCCAGAAGTTTACTAACTCATTATAATAAAACTGGTGCTTCCTAGTATCTCTTTCATCTTGCAGAACCTATAATTTACTTTAAATACACAGTTAAGTCATCTTGCAAATTATTTTTACCCTAATATCATGACTAAGAGTTATTTCTAGAACTTTTAAGCACTTTATTATGAAAAAATATCATACATGTTTAGAAGTAAACAAAACAGTCCTCATGCACTAAATCTGTTACACGAAAATAACATGAATTCCATTTGCACTTAAACATTATCAAGCCATGGCCAAACTCTGTCATCTATACTAACTCTAACCAGTTTCCCCTTTACACATCATTTTGAAATAAATCAGATAACATGTATCATTTTTACCTGCAAATAATTCAATATGTATCTCAAAAAAAAGTTAAGACACTTTAAATATTATAACTCAATACTATTCTCCCATTGAAAAATAAATCCCATGGTGCACTCTATGGAAAATGGTACAGTGTTTCCTCAAAACAAATAAAATGGAAATGCCATGTGAAACAACAATATCATAGCTCGCTATTTACCCAAAGGATATGAAAACGCTAATGAAAAGATTATATATACGCTTTCATACTCTTTCACAGCAGCATTATTTTTTACAGTCAAAGTCACAGAACCAGCCTAAATGCCCACCAACAGAAGACTGGATAAAGAAATTATGGAATATTACTCAATGGCCTACTACTCCGGTATTTAAAAAGATGAAATAGCACATTTACAGACAAAACGGATGGATCTTGAGATAATTATGCTAAGTCAGAAAGTGAAAGAATTATCAGATGGTTTCACTTGTTTGCAGAATATAGATAACCAAAGACAACAAACTAGCAAACAAGAAGACTAATTTTTAAATTCTGTGGAAAATATTGTTACCAGAGAGGTGGGGGAGGGAAGAGGTGAGTGAGGCATGTGAATTGCTGTGAAACTATTCTTAAAAAAAACTAATCCTAAAAGATAATCACGTGGAAAAATACTGGTAAAAAATATTTTCTCATAGTTTTTAAGGTTTCTTACTTGTATAACATCAATTACTTCATCAAAGTTTGTTCCTGGAAACTTCACCTCCTCTTCTTCTTCTAATTTCATAAATTCTGGGGTCTAGGAAAGCATTTTCAGAAAGTTTTTATTGTGCTTAACGCACATATTTCTACCTATAGCATAAACTTGTAATTATACAGCCATATCTTATAAATTTACTATCCTGTTCAGAATTAATAAATAAGACAAATCTATTCTAGTCCTCAAGCATTGGATCATCATTTTGAGAGCTAAAAAAAATTAAATATCAGTTTTTCTGTGAAAGACACCATCAATAATTAACAATTGACCCAAGTCAATTAAGTTGACATAATTATAATTTCCCTCAGTTAATATTAAAAAACTGTTTATATTTGTAGATATATAACTATAGATATACTGAAAGTCACAAAAATACAGATAGTGAATTATTTTAGAAAGATATATAAAGTAGCTAATTTACAAATTCAGCCAATAGACCTCACAATTATAAGCTAGTCACCAAAATCCACAAAACCGCTTCTTGAGAATAGAATAATAACCTCCAAAAAATATTATTTGTAATCATGTTTTAACAGACTTCTGGTGAAAAAAAGTATTGATGAAAAAATTAAACTAGACACAAAGACCATTATATATTAGTATTACTTTACTAATTCTGATTGTGAAAAATTGTTGGTGCTCTGCCTCTTCTTAAAATCTATCTTGATGGCCAAATTTGCTTACAATAGATGAAATGTGGGAAAATTTACAGTTCTATCTTATTTTGTAGTAAAGTCATAACATCATTATTCAGTAGCAAATAAATACTAAGAGGAAATTCATATTTTTGCAACATGTCAATAGTATGATAAAGTAATACCCAAAATCATGAACTCTAATCATCCTTATAAAATTCACATTCAAGGACCTCCCTGGTGGCACAAGCAGTTAAAGTCAGCGCTATCAAGCTATCATCAGCCACAGTGGCATGAGTTCAACCCCAGCGAGGGAGCTAACCCACATGGCACAGCAGATCTCTCCTGTCGATCACTGCTCCCCTCAGCAGTATATTTCAGTAGATCCACCAGTTCTCCTCTCCACTGTCTCTGGTGAATCCTCTTATACCCCATACCTCTGGCCTATACCGCGGTTCTTGTATGAATAAAAAAAAAAAATCTTAAAAAAAATAAAATTCACATTCAAAAAAACTGTAATTCTCATTTAAATCAAGATTCTTCTCCAAAGAGAAAGTCTTCACATATGAAAATTACCAGTTACCAAAAGACACCATAAGGATTATCACTTTCAGAATGTTTATAAATGACAAGCTTAAACACATCTTGTTTTTCAAGTTGATAAACAAATCCAGATTCATATTGAATATCTTTTACTTAAAACCTAAATTATCACAATAGATTATGATGGAAGTCTTTTCATGTTATAACTATTAAAGTCTACAGTCAGATTTACTCAAAGCCAAATGATAAAATTCTGAACAATACCTGTATCCAGGTTTTCAGAGGAGGAGATGCTTCTTTGGGACTAGACAGGGAAGGACTGGCAATAGCACTACCATTCGAAATGCTGTCAATATCTACGTTGGGTAATATCTGAAACAAACACAGCCCAGCCTTCTGTTCATCATTTTGAGTCAAATATTTGTCAATCTATATATTAAATATATAGATTTAACTTTGAAGTCGATGGTCAACACATTTTTGTAATTATGAAGGCATATTTTACAAAATTTGGGAAATAAAGAGGAAAGACACAAAGCTCATTATCTTAAGATAATTTCATTTTCCCTATTTCCTCTGTCTTTTTACTGTCCACTTACATTACTAAAATATGATCAGTTTTAAAGAACAAAAGATGAAAGAAAAATTTTCATAAAGCATTATAATTAGATTTTAAGTACTAAAGTAAGTCAAAGATTTTTCCTCAAAACTTTCAGCTCATGTACCCTGTCGTACCTGTACAGTAAGCTGAGGAGGATCCTTTTTCTCAGACTTCATTTCTACAACTGCTATGTTAGGTTTCTTTACTCCAATTTCTGTTTTCTGAGTTGATGGAGGAATAGAAGTAGTCACTGTTATAGGGTGTGGCTTGTTTATAATTACTCCTGCAGGTGGCATGGAATCACTATTACTTTGGGTTTGTCCTAAAAAGTTTGGGGGAGAAAATGAGCCAACCATTTCAAAAATATAGAAAATAATGTCTAATATACTACCTAGATCTTTATGACTAAATTCTCACATGAAAGCAAAGTATTATCTGCAACCATCTTTCCTTCTTATCATTATCACTGTCAACACATCACCATGCCATCCTTTGAGCGACAATTCATATTTATTTGGCTTTGAGAAGTACTATCTAACGTAATCCTTAGTCAAAGCCTATGAGGTATTAATATTATCTCCATTTTATACTTAAGTGAACAGATGTTTAGCATAATTTGCCAAAGTATAATAGTTTGTAAGTAGCAAAGCAAGGCCTAAAGTATATTGTATTTTTAATCCTCAGATTGTCACAGAGCAACAACAGAATAAATTTCATTACAGAAGTAAAACCAACGAGACGACACTGGTGTTTGACTTATCAACAAACAGCATATAGACTAGTAACTATCACAGCTGCCAAAAACATGCTTTCACTTCAAAAGTTGCACTTGTTTCCTATGTTTCAAAGTTGAGGGACAATGTACTTGAAGAAAGCACAGACTGTAAGGCCAGACTGCCTAGGTTTGAACCTTGAATCCACTAGCTATGTGGCCTTTGACAAATTACTTAACTCCTCCATGTCTTGGTTTCTTCATCTATAAAACTCATACATTAACATGGGCTTTATAGGGTAAATTAAATAATTTTTTTAATTTTATATATTTTTTAATCATTCTTCATTTTTCTACAATGTGTGCTTTCTCCTCTCAGGTGTAGTCCCTGCGAAATTCCCACCACCAATTCACCTGTGCACCATCACCATAGTCCCTTGTGCTCTTCCCACCCCTGTTTTGATCCCTCTCCCTCCTCCTCCCCTGTAGAATGTCTCTGATTTATAGTTGCCTGTTGATTTTGATTTTTAATTTATTTTAATTACTTCCCCCCCCCCCCGATCCCCTAGCATGCACAGGTCTGTACCTGGCACACAGTAAGGACTTTGTGTTAGCTGTTATATTACTAGAAGGCATATTTGAGCAGACATTAGCTACTAAATTAACAGGCCATGAACTTTAAAATCAATAATAAAATATTCTCTCACTCTGAAAATTATTCAAATTTAAATCAAAATTCAAAAAATGGCACTAAAAGAAAAAAATAGATAACTAGATTTGAAGAGGCAGTTTTTACCACCATGAGTCTAAGAGACCTCAAATACGTAAATGATCAACTATTGGTGTAAAATGCATAACTATGCAATTTTTACTTCTCACAACCTAGTTTAAAAGTAGCCAGTAGCTAAAGTACTGCCCTAAGACATGATGACTCTAACAAATCAATCAAAATGATTCAGTTCTTTTATTATTATGAATGTCTACAACATGTCTAAACATTTATTTTATCTACACAAGTACTATAAACAACAAAAGAATGTTAGCTGTGAATGAAACTGTAGCAGGAACCCACCACTTTATATTGTCATTATACAAAGACACATTCTTGCACAAATATAAATAACATATGAAGAAAAAGGTAGGTGACTAGTATGTCAGGACTATTTTGTAAGTTCTGCTACAGCTAATAAGAATTTAAAATTTACCAAAAACATTTTGTGTGTCTTACCTAAAAGAATTGCCATAGGAATCAGATGACCTTCCAGTGTACCTGAAAGAGTAGGTATTTCTCTACTAGGGCTGAACAAGTACTGCTGATCACCAGAAGGCATAGTAACAGAATGTTGACGTTTAGAATCTATCTTCTTAGGTTTTGTTGCGTAAGAGTCAGTTTGTGTTCTTATTGACTTGACTTTAGTTCCTGTTGTAATCATCAATGGCAGATATTTTAAAATATTGTTTGAACATCTATTCTCCAGTAATCTAGAAATACAGCAACACAGAAAGACCTCATTCTATATAACAAGATTATAAGGTTTCAAGCTACAAGTAACATAAACCAAGAGTTGTCACTTTTTCTTAACTGGCCAAATAGTAAATATTTCAGCCTTGTGAGCCATATGATTTCACTTGTAACATCTCAATTCTCCCAGCATGAAAGGAGTCATAAATAACATATAACAATGAGCAAACCTATGTTCCAATAAAACTTGATTTTTGAAAATAGGCAGCTGACCTGCAGGCCATGGTCTTCAACCCCTGAATAGCTAGTGTCAAAGTGTTTTACTGACTGCACAAGTTGAAAACTTCAAAAATAATAACCAAAGTCAATATAGTCAATATTTAACTAAGAGTTACATTTAAATATATGAGCGAAATGGTAGAGAGGAATCAAAATATACAGTGACAAATGAAGATACTTTTAGAGCCTATAAGACAAACAAAAAATTTTTTCATCTTTGCTACTTAAGGCTCTCTGAGAACAAATAAAAGTGCAAAAGCACGCATAAGTACCTTTATGATACATAGAAAGGCTGATCTTTTGAGTCAGAAAGAACACTACTAAGAACTTCAAAGAAATGGCTACTTTTCCTAGATTATAATTTAGATTGCTAAAGACTCATCAGTCCACAAATACAAATTTTATCATGTTATCTGAAGATACTATTTAAACCTGTATTTTTCCCACTTATTCCTATCTTTTTTTTTTTAAAGATTTATTTATTTATGCATACAAGAACTGGGCTTCAGGCCAAAGGTGTGGGGGATGAGAGGATTCACCAGAGACAGAGTGGAGAGCAGAACAGGTGGATTGACTAAAACACACTGCTGAGGGGAGTAGCGGGCAAGTCAGGAGAGGTCTGCTGCACGATGTGGGTAGCTCCCTGGCCAGGGATTGAACTCATGCTGCAGTGGCTGCGGATAGCTTCATAGGTTGTGTCTTAACACCCTGAGCCACCGTGGAGGCCCCACTTATTTCTCTCTTGTGGCTTATATCTATTCTATTTTTCTTCTACTCTCCAAAGGAATTGTATTTCCATTCCTAAGTATTATATTTTTTGGAGTATATTTATAATAAATAAAAAGCAAATGTTAAACTTTACCTATTAAACTGATATAAAAAATTATATTTACCACAAAAAAAAAAAAGGTTCCTTACCTTTAACACATTCTATTACTTTTGGTCTCTGTGGTTTGGACTTGGGAGATGGAGAATTAAATCTGAGATATGGTCCTTTTTTAAGAGTGCTGCGATGGCCCTGATAAACTGGTTTTCCATAAATTTGTATCATATAATCCTCATCTTGTGTAACTGGAGCTCCTTTCCAAAATCCCTATGTATACACAAAGTTACTCAATTCCCCAGCAAAAATGTCACCAAAAACTTACCTCATTTATCTAAAAGCTTTTGCCAGCTTAAGTATTATAATAAGAATGATCAGGTCAGAACAGTGCTTTACTTTAAATGGTTCTTAAATTCTAGACATAGTTTTTAAAAGCATGAAAATTAAATATAAAAACCATCCACACAAGAAACATGAAGGTTCTTACATTACTAAGCATATTTTCAGTAACAAAAAATAAGATTTAAAGACATTTTACATATTTATTACATTCAAATACAATAAAATAATACAAATCAAGTCTTAAATGATTTTCTAAATTCCTGATCCCACTTTCAACCACAGTCCAAATGGCACAAAAAGGTAGCATTTGTTGAGCATCTACTAAGTGTTAAGTATTGAATTAGATAATTTATTAATCTGCCCAACAACCCATATTTGGCATTAAGAAAGTTACAGACTACTTAGAGCAGCCAAAAAAATTCCTTCCAGGGCCTCCCCGGTGGCACAGCGGTTGAGCGCTGGGTTGTGAAGCTGCCCGCGGCCTCTGCGGCGCCGGTTAGATCCCCGGCTGCTCCCCGGCCACTGGAGGAGGGTCCCACATGGCGCGCAGACCTCTCCTGCCGCCCGCTGCTCCCCTCAGCAGTGTACTTCGGTCCTTCTGCCTGCTCTGCTCCCTGCTCTGGCTCTGGTGAATTCTCTCACCCTCCCGCACTTCTGACTGTACCCAGTGCATGTATAGACAGACAAACAAACAAACAAACAAACAAATAAATAAAAAACATGCCTCTATAAAAAAAAATAAAAATAAAATAAAAAAAAAAATTCCTTCCATAGCATGTAGTATCATGCCTTCCAATTACTATGCACTATAATAAATATGTTAAATTGAAAAATAAACAAAAACATGTTTATACACACACACACACACACACACATGGGGTGAAATAAAATCTTTAGTATCATGAACCAGAGAACTTAATTTTTGGAATAGCTCTAGCTATACCTGCTATAACTAAAATACTGTGATTCTAAGTGAGAGACCTCAGAAAGAAGGAATATGTATTTTGTATAGTGATTTTCTACATTGTGCATATCCCAAATCCTAAACTCCAGTAGTTTACATTTAAATAGTTCTTCGTATTTCTAAAATATTTTCACACTTACATCATTATTTGCATCTTAAAGGAAATGACCGATTATAATGAAACATTTATATTACCAAGCCATGGTGGAATCTTACTTCTTTTCTGTCTTTCTGTAAGCTTGAAGCTGGCATGTTCCTTATATATGGATTTCTAAAATGCTCCTCTGTTTGTCTTTGAGAATATTTTCTTGGATTTACAGTACTTTTTATGGTTTTTTCTTGTGTGTAAGGTTTAATATCTTTATTCATATTCTGAGCTTTCTTGGCTCTTTGATTCTTCTGATCAAATCTCTTTTGTTCATAATCTTTTCTTTCCAGTTCATCCTTAACATAACAAAAATGAAAATGACTTAAAATCTATCCAAGAAGCAAGCTTAAATATCAAAAGCAATAGAGTTTATTTTCAACCATTAGAGAAATGGAGTTTAACAGTTTTAAATGCAGTAGAAATAACATTAGAAATCTTGTAGGATATTTTCCTTTTAAATAACTTTGGTGTTTTTACTTTGGCAAGCTAATGCTTTTAAATCTGCTGTCTTGAAACATTTTGTAAGTAGTACATTTTTTTTTTCTAAGTACCTTAGATAAATTTTCCTTTAAATTGCTGATATTTCAGTTATTTAACAATTTGTCAGATAAGAGCCATATATAATTTATGAGATGAAGAAATTGTTTAAGTAAATGAAATTTATTATTAAGTAAATATAAAAATGAATGACTGAAATTAAGAGCTATAAAGTGGACTCATATATAAAGTATATATTGAGAGTTAAATGTGATAATTATAAATTGGAATAATTATTTTCTCCAGAGAATTCACTAATCAGTTTTTTTCAATACCTACCTGAATTTCTGCAGAAATAGTTTTAATCCACTCATCCACAGTCTTTCTGATTCGAATCTTCTCCGACATCTCTCTATAAAAGAAAAAAATAATTTTCTGAAGTCAGCATTTAACATACTGGGGACAGAATCTAGATCAGATCACTTATCTATCAATAGTTATGAATTTACCATATAGCCCAATATACTTCATCCAAAAAGAAAAAAAAAATGCTATTAGTTTTTATCAAATGTTGGAAGAAAACAGCGCCTCTCTGGTAGTGCAGGGGTTAAAGTCTCAGAGCTTTCAAGATGGCCAGCCTCTGTGCATGAGTTAGATCCCCTGCCAGGGAGCTAACCCACATGGTGCAGCAGACCTCTCCTGTCTCACCGGCTGCTCCTCTCAGCTGTGTATTTCAGTAGATCCGCCTGTTCTGCTCTGTACTCCGTCTCTGGTGAATCCTTTCAATCCCCTGTACCTCTGGCCTACACCCCAGTTCTTGTATGCATAAATAAATAAATCTTTAAAAAAAATTTAGAAGAATGTTTGAAAGGCACATGTAGACCCCAGAATATATCTACCAAAGAATGGAAGAAAAAAAGGAAAATTTACACTTGTAAAAAAGAATACCAACATGTATATATACAAATTCCAACTTTGTAAGTCTACATCTTCAAAAGCACCGAAGAAACTTTACTAAACATTAAAATACATTGAGCAAAATTAAATATTTAGAAAAAATTAAGAATGGCAAGAACTGGAAGTTTCATAAAAAAATCTTGGGATGCCAATATCTTGTCTTACTTGTTAGTAGATAAAGCATTAATAAAAGAATACATGGCAGCTCCATCCTTTGCACGAATAATAGCTTCCAGATTTTCTTCAAGTAATTTTTTATTGTTTTGTACTCCTCTCAGAATCTTCTCAGCATCTTTCAAAACTGATCCCTTACTGGTTGTTTGAAGCTTAATGGAATTCTGTGGAAAATCAGCAAGCTGCGACATAATCAAAGAATCTTTTGGCTTTGAAAGAAAAAAAGAGGCAAAAATGTTACCATGTAAAATGCTTGAGTTTACCCTTGAATAATGTGAGGATTACAGGTGTTGACCTCAACCCAGTCAAAGATCTGTTTATAACATTTGACTCCCCAAAAACTTAATAGCCTGCTGTTGACCAGAAGCCTTACCAACAACATAAGTAGTACCATATACTTTGTATATTACACTTTATTCTTGCAATAAACTAAGCTGGAGAAAAGAAAGTGTAATTAAGAAAAATATAAGGTGGCCTCCCTGGTGGCACAGACGGTTGAGTGCCACACTGTGAAGCTGTCTGCAGCCTCTGCAGTGCGGGTTCGATCCTGGCTTGCCAGCGAGAATCCCACATGGCGCAGCAGACCTCTCCTGTCGTGCCCGCTGCTCCCCTCAGCAGTGTATTTCGTCAGTCTGCCTGTTCTGTTCCCCGCTCTGTCTCTGGTGAATCCCCTCACCCTCCCGTGCATCTGGCCTGTACCCCAGTTCTTATATAAAAATAAATAAATCTTTAAAAAATAAAAAGGAAGAAAAGATTCATATAGTACTGTATTTGCTGATACCATAAGTTCACATCATGTTTATAAGAAAATCTGCATATTACTAGACCCTCCCCCATTCCTGAACCCCACACAGTTCTAACTGGTATTGTTCGAGTCAACTGTAAATAATTTCATCCAAACGAGAACTAGTACTATTGTTGAGGTTATAAACTATGCTAATATACTCTAAGGACTCAATTCATCAAACTGAAGAGTCATGAAAGAATAGTTGGCCTTTAAGGCTTTTTTCTATTGAGAAGTAGTAATGTGAATATTAAATAAAATAGGACCAGGAAATCCACAGCAATGCTTAGCAGTCCAGTTGCCAATGAAAGCTATAGTTGGTGAAGAAAACTAAAACAAAATAAGAGCAAGTTGGCTCTAGGTAAGCATGGCAGACACAGTACTTTTTCCCTTTCTTTCTCTCCAAAAGAACCTGGAAATCTAGAGGTGGTCATGTGGTTCAGTCCAAGCCAAGGAATAATAAGTAAAAATCACTTCATGAGGACTTCTAGAAAAGTTTTATGGAGAGAACAGACTTGGTTGACAAAATATTTTCAGTGATTTGTCTTTGCTCTTTTCTCTTTCTGTCTTGATAACTTTTATTTAATAATTTTTACCTTTACTAATCAATAATTTTAATATTTTCTTTGCCATTTACCTGGAGTATTCCATTTGTTTCTTTCTCCTTTTGGCCAAGATCATGAAGAACATCATCAGACTTCTGCAAAGCCACCTTAGCTATTCCCAGCTCTTCATAGGAAGGAAATCTTTGAGACGATAGAGTGTCAATGCTGTAAAAGATTTTGTAAAAATAGTTTCCTGAATTTTTTTTTTTTTTTAAAGCTTTATTTATTTATTTATACAAGCACTGGGTACAGTCAGAAGCGCGGGAGGGTGAGAGAATTCATCAGAGCCAGAGCGGGGAACAGAGCAGGCAGAAGGACCGAAGTACACTGCTGAGGGGAGCAGCGGGCAGCAGGAGAGGTCTGCGCGCCATGTGGGACCCTCCTCCAGTGGCCGGGGAGCAGCCGGGGATCGAACCGGCGCTACAGGGGCTGCAGGCAGCTTCGCAACCCAGCGCTCAACTGCTGCGCCACCGGGGAGGCCCAGTTTCCTGAATTTTTATAAACTCTGTAGATATCTGATCACACACAAAAGTCTTTTTTTTTTTCTTTTTTTTTTTTTTTTTTTAAATAGAGGCATGTTTTATTTATTTGTTTGTTTGTTTGTTTGGTTTATACATGCACTGGGTATAGTCAGAAGTGCGGGAGGGTGAGAGAATTCACCAGAGCCAGAGCGGGGAGCAGAGCAGGCAGAAAGACCGAAGCACACTGCTGAGGGGAGCAGCGGGCGGCAGGAGAGGTCTGCGCGCCATGTGGGACCCTCCTCAGGTGGCTGGGGAGCAGCCGGGGATCGAACCGGCGCCGCAGAGGTCGCCGGCAGCTTCGCAACCCAGCGCTCAACCACTGCGCCACCGGGGAGGCCCACACACAAAAGTCTTTGATATACTTAGCTACAGAAGGTTTTTCTCTGAAGAAGCTAATATGCAGAAGCAATTCCAGAATAGTGGAATAAAAACCTCTAAAAATCTACTCCTCCATAAGAACACAGAGAATGTCAAAAAAAAAAAAAAAATTGTCAAAATCAATTTTCCAAAACCAACAACCCAATACTATTTATTCAAGAAAAATGGCTGACTCTGACAAAGAACAGCAAGCTTTATGACATCTAAGGTTGTCTCATTACCAAAACATCTTAACCAATTCTGTGGTACCCTTGAGAGTCAATAGTTTTACAACCAGTGTAGCTGTGAAAACCAACAGACTCACACTACTACAAAGGGAAAAATGGGGCCTCCCACGTGGCACAAGGGTTTGAGTCTCAGCACTATGAAGCTATCAGCAGCCACTGCAGCATGAGTGGATACCTGGCCAGGGAGCTAACCCACATGGCACAGCAGACCTCTCCTGTTTCACCTGCTACTCCCCTCAGCAGTGTATTTCAGTCAATCTGCCTGTTCTGCTCCCCAATCTGTCTTCCCCCACCACCTCTGGCCTACACTCCAGCTCTTTTTTTTTTTTTGATTTATTTTATTTTTTAAAAGATTTATTTATTTATTTATACAAGCACTGGGTACAGTCAGAAGTGCGGGAGGGTGAGAGAATTCACCAGAGCCAGAGCCGGGAGCAGAACAGGCAGAAGGACTGAGGTACACTGCTGAGGGGAGCAGCAGGTGCAGCAGGAGAGGTCTGCGCACCATGTGGGACCCTCGCCTGGTGGCTGGGGATCGAACAGGCACTGCAGAGGCTGCAGGCAGCTTTGCAGCCCAGCGCTCAACCGCTGTGCCACCGGGGAGGCCCCTATCTCTACTTCTAATCCAGTTTCCCCACTCTGCACTAGATTATTTTGGACGGACAGTCCAGATATCAATTTCTCAGAAACAGATAATCTGCATTATTAAAAATCAATAATACATATTTTAAGATAAATTCATTTTACAATTATAGAGGAAAATACATATTATCAGCAGAAAACTAACTACATCTAAGATAATTTTTTTTAAAGAATTTTTTTTAAATATATTTTTTATATCGTTCTTTTTTATTTTTACTTTTTTATAGAGGCATTTTTTTTTATTTATTTATTTGTTTGTTTGTTTTGTTTATACATGCACTGGGTACAGTCAGAAGCGCGGGAGGGTGAGAGAATTCACCAGAGCCAGAGCGGGGAGCAGAGCAGGCAGAAGGACCGAAGTATACTGCTGAGGGGAGCAGCGGGCGGCAGGAGAGGTCTGCACGCCATGCGGGACCCTCCTCCGGTGGCCGGGGAGCAGCCGGGGAGCGAACCGGCGCTGCAGAGACCGTGGGCAGCTTTGCAACCCAGCGCTCAACCACTGCGCCACTGGGGAGGCCCCATCAAAGATAATTTTTAAAAGAAATGCTATAAATGTTAAAATTCATAGAGAAATTTCAGAAACATGAACAAAGCTCTTTTCAATATAGCTTTTATTCTAATCTCTTGTTTTTACCTGTTTCTCCTCTCAGGATTCCATCCTATTTTTGACCTAGGTAGTGAGGATTTGTCAGAAGATTCACCTTTTCTTGTCAAAGAATCATGATTATTCAAAATTTGTTCCAACAGTCTTACATTTCCTGTAACAGAAAACAATATTATTTTTCAAATATAATTGATTTATATAATCATAATTAATTAATTTTTTAAAAAGATTTATTTTTTTATTTTATACAAGAACTGGGGTACAGGTCAGAAGTGCAGAAGGGTGAGAGAATTCACCAGAGCCAGAGTGGGGAACAGAACGGGCAGATGGACCGAAGACACTGCTGAGGGGAGCAGCAGGCGAGGCAGGAGAGATCTGCTGCGCCATGTGGGGTTCTCCCCCACCAGCGGGGAATTGAACCAGCGCTGCAGAGGCTGCAGACAGCTTCGCAGTGTAGCGCTCAATCACTGTGCGATCAGGGAGGCCCAAAATAAATAAATCTTTAAAAAAATGATTTATTTTTTTATACAAGAACTGGGGTACAGAGCAGGAAGCAGAAAGTCACTTCTAAAAAAAAATCTAAGGATACATGCTCTAAAATGATCAATCTTGGGCCTCACAGGTGGCGCAACTGGTTGAGTGCAGTGCTGTGAAACTGTCTATAGCCTCTAAGGTGCCGGTTTGATTCCTGGCCGGCCAGGGAAATTCCCACATGGCGCAGCAGACCTCTCCTGTCTCACCCACTGCTCCCCTCAGCAGTGTATTTCGGTCCTTCTGCCTGTTCTGCTCCCTGCTCTGTCTCTGGTGGATTCTCTCACCCTCATGCACCTCTGGCCTATACCCCAGTGCTTGTATAAATAAATAAAATCTTAAATCAACCTTACCTTTAGCAAAGCATTTTTTATTAATAACAAGACTTATTCTTTAAAGTTTTAAGGAACAACCTACAGAAGATAGATTATAAATTTCTTTTTTTTAAAAAAGATTTATTTTGGGCCTCCCCGGTGGCGCAGCGGTTGAGCGCTGGGTTGCGAAGCTGCCCGCAGCCTCTGCAGCGCCGGTTCGATCCCTGGCTGCTCCCCGGCCACCGGAGGAGGGTCCCACCTGGCGCGCAGACCTCTCCTGCCGCCCGCTGCTCCCCTCAGCAGTGTACTTCAGTCCTTCTGCCTGCTCTGCTCCCCGCTCTGGCTCTGGTGAATTCTCTCACCCTCCCGTGCTTCTGACTCTACCCAGTGCTTGTATAAATAAATAAATAAATCTTTAAAAAAAAAAAAAAAAAAAAAAAGATTTATTTTATTTATGCATAAGAACGGGGGTACAGGCCAGAGGTGTGGGGGGTGAGAGGGTTCACCAGACACAGAGTGGGGAACAGAGCAGGCAGACTGACTGAAGTACACTGCTTAGGGGAGCAGCAGGCAAGACAGGAGAGGTCTGCTGCACCATGTGGGTTGCTCCCTGGCCAGGAATCAAACTCGTGCTGTAGAGGCTGCCAATAGCTTCACAGGGTGCGTCTTAACCCCCTGCGCCACTAGGGAGGCCACCAGATGATAAATTTCTATCTCCAACTCCTTCTACAAAGAATGTAAAGAACCTGAATTACCTAGTAAGTATCATCTAAAGAAAAGTATTAAAAATAGAGATCCCATTTTATTTACTACTAGGCATATGGGAGAATTATAAATCATGAGTGCAGAAATCTACAAATCAAAACCATATGAGATAGCTCATCACACTTGTAAGAATGGCCCATATCCAAAAGACCAGAAAAAAAATTGTTGGTAAGGATATGAAGAAAAAGGAACTCATATATAATGCCGGTAGGAATGTAGTATAGTCCAGGCCTTATGGAAAATAATATGGAGGTGTCTCAAATATTAAAAACAGATCTAGCATATGACCCAGCAATTCTAATTCTAGGTATTTACCCAAAGAAAACAAAAACACTAATTTGAAGGAAATATGTACTCCTAGCATCACTGCAGCACTATTTACAAAGCCAAGCTATGGAAACAACTTAAATGCCCCCCAAAAAGATGATTAGAAAGATGTGATATATACACAAAATGGAATACTACTCAGCTATTAAAAAGATAAGCTTTTGCCATTTGCCACAGCATGGGTGGAACTGGAAGGAATTAAGATAAGTGAAATAAGTCAGAAGGAAAAAAGATACCAGATGGGGTCACTTATATGTGGAATGTAAAGAAACAAAATCAAGGGTTAGTCAGATAAAGCCAAACCTATAACCTAAACCCTAGGAATCTGACAGCAGAACTGAGGCTACCAGAGATGGAAGGGGAGGGGAAACAACCAAGTACGGAAGGAGCACAATGGACTATGGTTGAGGACTATCGGTGTTTTGGTGGTGAGTATAGTGTGGTACCACCACCTGAAGGGGGAGATCTTAGACCTCTAAATCACGATGTTGCAAACCAAAAGGTGCCTCAGTTAAAAAAAAAAAAAAAAATCTGTTCTTGAGATAGGTCTAATAAAAAAATGGGTATTAATTGTGCTTTTTACTTTTTTTTTTTGTAAGTGCTTTTTTACCTGTATTACCAGATATCTCCACATTTTCTTTTTCTTCCATCGGATTTTCCCTCTTTGATATTTTATCATCCTTTGAAAGAGGTATAGGAGCAAACCTGCGAGGTGCTGGTGTCTCCAGAGGAGATTTCTGTTTATCAAAACCCTTTTCTTCAACCTCTCTGGAAGGTGCTTTAACAGAAAACAATAAATTTAACTTACTCTTAAAAAACTTTAAGTTGTAAAGTATTGCTTTCTCCCCACATTTTAAAAATAACAGAAAACTTCATAATATATGCAAATTATAACAAGATACAAAAATAATTCCATGCTTACCAGAAGTCAAAAGAAATAGATTACATGCACTTTACCAATAAATTATGATTAAAGTGATAATATTCAGTGCTATTTAAGCTGTGGTGTAAACGGTATAGCCAGACACTCACAGCTAATGGCAATGAAAACTATTAAGACTATCTGGCACTAAGTACAGAAAGTTTTATAATTTTTATATTCTTTGCCCTAGCAATTTTATTCTTAGGAATTTATCTGAAGGAAATAACCTAAAGAAGAAAAAGCATTAAATACAAGACAATTTTAATTACAGTATTATTAATAAAGAAAAACCCTTAAAACTGCCTAACTGTCCAAAAATAGGATAATTGTCAAGTGTGAAAGTTATTCAACAGACTATCCTTTAGTCATTAAAAATAAAAATTGAGGTAACTATATAAAACATGGGAATTACTTTTGATATACCAGTAAAAAAAGTACAAAATTATATTTATGCTACACTACATAAATATGATATATGCCCAAGTAAAAGAATAGAAAAATAAAATTTTACTTTGCTGATTTTTAATTTACTCTTTTTTTCTTCTTGTTATTGTCACTAAAGTACACAGATACAAATTAAGTATAGAATCAATAAAACAGACATCTTTTTCTTTTAAAATTCAAGTCTAAAAAAACAAAATTATGAACAAGTAATTCTCTGAAGTTAAGTATGAAGCAAATATCCACCTCTGTAGAAGATATATGGCTGGTTACACTGAAACCTGAGTTCTGGCCACAGCTATAATATTCTCACTCTTGAGCAAACAAATCTTTAAAACTTCTATCTATATCCTTCATCCTCCTCCCTTTAGAACTGAAAATGGACTCGTATCATTTCACAACAGTTTTACAAGGACAGCTCATTTGTTGTAAAACATAAGACATCTTACAAATGTAAGGCATCTTTACTATGTAATACTACACAAATTAAAAATGAGCAGTATTGTACTACTGTAAACCATTGAAGGGATAGATTCTTAATGTTCATTCATTATTCAAATATCAATAATGGAGATATTTATTCACTTATTTTAAATTCCAAAGGTTTAATACAAGTAAGCTCTATATTATTTGTTGTCATAAACAGAGGTTTTTAAAATTCTATTAAAATAAAAAGACATACTACAAACTCTGAAAATATTTATAATTATATTCAGGTGGTTTCTCAGCTAGCAGAATAAAGAAAAATGGAAAACATGCAGTTAGCCAATGAACCAGAGTGTCGACCACATTTTTTGACCCTAGGTAAGTAAAACTTTTCTAAATTTTTAAGTGCTTTTGACAATTTATGAAGGTTACTAAAACCACAAAGTAGGACATGATCCATAACTTAATGAACAAAAAATTATTGTAAAAATGTTACCTAATCTAAAAAAAGAAAAATTTTATAAAACAAATACTCTACAATCTAACAAGTAAGTTTTCAGTTTATATGCCACAATGAAATTCACAGCTAACATTTTTTATTCACAGACTCAACTATGTATTTTTACCTTGTTTGGAAGAAAATGTGTTGTATGAAGATTGATTATAGCTACTAAAATTAGAAAGGTCTGGTTTTACAGAATACTTTTCCACTGCTCCAGTAGGAGGCATGGTAACAGGCTGAAAACTACTAGTCTTGAGTGCGGCACCAATGAAATGAGTCTAGAAGACACAAAATTATTTATTAATTCAAGTATCATTTGAAAGAGTTAGATAACAAAAGACAATGAAATTTAACACAGGACTTGAAAACAATGCAATTTAACAATGAAAATACACAAACTACATGCAACTCTCCATTGCATAGAGATCTGATTTGAAGGATATAGTAGCACAAAGATGTATATTAAAGTGTGGCTCTGCACTGTGATCTTGATTTTATTTAAACATTCTACACTGTACTTTCTTCCTTTCTATCTCAGGGACGGACCAACAAAGCAAGCTATGAGAGGATCAGGAGAAAGGGGTCCTAGTCCTAAACCTCTACCTCAACAAGGAAATTTTAAACCAAAACATCTCATCTTTAATATCCTGGATGGTAAGATTTCATTTCAAGCAATGGCTTAAAAACCATGCAGTTTTCCTGCAAGTGTGTACATCAGAATCATTAGAGAGTGCTAAGCTATTCAAGGTCCCATCTCAGACACTCTCACAATCTGAGAGGTGCAAGCATAAGTACAGTAGCCCTCCTTATCAATGGAGAATACACCCCCAGTGCATGACTGAAATTGTACTGTTTTTAACTATGCATACATTATCTATGATGAAGTTTAATTTATAAATTAGGCACATTAACAATAATAATAAAAGAGATTAACAATAATAATAAAACAGAGCAATTATAACAATATATTATAGCAATATACTATACTCTACTATAACAATATACTATACAATATACTATAACAATATACTACAATATACTATAAAATATACAATATAATATAACAATATACTATAATAAAAGTTATGTGAATATGGTATCTCTGTCAAATTATCTTACATAATATTTTGGATTGAGGTTGACCACAGTAACCAAAACTATGAATAAATGAGGTGATTGCTATATTTTTATAAAGCTTTCTAAGTAAATAAATGATTGCCATATAAGTACCTATAAACAGAAATATCACAAAAGAAGGAAAACTGGATGAATGCAGGCCACTTCCAGCATTGCCACAGTTGCTAACGATACCACTAGCCCATTGTAGTTGTTTCCTCTAGAGTTTATAGACAAACATATGGGATCAAGAACTCACATTGTGCTTTAGCGTGATAAAAAAATTGCTGACAAACTTCTAGAATTCGATGATTTTGTAAATATGGTACTGGAAAATGTCACTGAGTTTGAAATCATGCCAGAAGGAAGAATTACTAGATTAGATTTTGCTAAATGGACATAATACAACAATGCTGGTTCCTGAAGGATAAATGCATTTCCTTGACTTATGATAGATTCTTCTTTGTCTTATAAACAAAATAGAAATTTTTAAAAAATATTTTAATTTTGGATTTCGTGAAGCTAAGCTTCCCATTAAAAGGGAAATGCTTTGAAAACACATTGTAAATACCTATATTTGTAAGTTAATCAAGATTATCCTGGAAAAAAAAACAGCTTATTCTTTATGTTTTTGGTAAAGGAAGGGAAGGGCAAGGGGGAGGGAGAAGTTAGGGAGAAGAAAGGCCAACTATAAGGAGAGTTCTCACAGAACTGCTGACATTTGAACTACAACATGCAACTTTCCAAATAGAGAGGAAGAATGAAGAACAAGTAAATCACTATTTAAGAATCAAAACGGTTTTAATCTAATGAGCTATTCCAATAATCAAGAATAGGGTTTAGAGATTCAGGTGGTAATAGATCAGGGCATGTGTGCTAGTTTTATTATAGATACCTGAATATCTATTTGCTGCTGTTGTAATTTTTCAAGATGCCTAATGTGCTGCTCCATAAACACATTCATTTGCTTTTCATGATCATGACAATGTAGTTTCTCCTGTGTCTGCTGAATGCTTGTTTGCTGTTCTGTAACACGCTGTAACTGCTTATCAGTTTCCTGTAACTTATTGAGCAATTCTGTAACAGAATTCACTTTTGCTTCCAACTCACTCTGCACCTAAAATATCAAAAGATATTTAAAAAAAATAATCAATTCCTAAAAAGATTATTTATTGCAATTTATATTGAAATGATAAAGCAAGAGCTTTTACCCTCTAAATTACTGATGATTTAATGCCTTTGTTTTCAGAATCACAGAAACAAAAGGCAGAAGATAGCCATCCTTAGGTAGATACTGCCTCATAAAAAAAGTTTGCCACATTGGATCTTTATAATACCAAAAATAAAAGACTTAATTGGAAATGTAAAAAAAGGGAAATAGCAAAACAAAGTAGCTTTTGATACATCACTAATGCAAAACTGAGTTAGGTCACCAACCTTGAGTTCTAATCTTGACTCTGCCACCTATTAGCTCTAGGACCTGTGCCTACTCTTACCTGTTTTTCAGTTTCTTCATTTACAAATGAGGAGGTTGGCACAGATTATCTCTAAGGTGCCTTAGAACTCTTAAGTAAGGATGACCAATCATCTTGGGTTGGACTGGAGTGTTTTCTCAGGATGAGAGATTTTCAGTGCTAAAACTGGAAGAGCCCTGAATATTCTGGTATTATCACAGTGAAGAGGCAGAAAGTCTCACAACTCCTGAGAGGAGATACATTACAGATAGACTCTTTCAAACTGAGAGCAACTAGAATGTCCTTCATCAGCAACTGGACTCAACTATTTACAGAATCAGTTACTAACAAATATTTTAACATTTTACAAAGCAGTTATGAATATCTGGGGAGAAAAATATACTTTTATAAGTGGAGCTGCTGTTGCAATAGCGGCGGCAGTTGCTGCAGCCACAGTTGTAGCTGAATCAATTCCACAGGGTGAAGTTCTAGTCTCTGGAGTAACAGAGTCCTTTTCTGTGCCTGCATCGTCTAAAAGCTGTACCTTTACCTCCTTAAAAACAGGCATAGTTTGAGTTCTGTAAATAAAAAAACGGATAAAAATATATTTAGTAAGCTACCCTGAACCATCCCAAGAAATATCTGCTAAACGTGGGTTTTGATTTTTTTTAATTGAAATACCTGTTTTTCCCTACCAAAATCTCTATCAAACAGTATTTGGTTAATGAAATCTATTAAGGTTCAGGTCACTAAACACTGAAGAAATAACAATAATTCCTTGAAGGCAGTGATATTTCAGAAAATAATATTCATGTTTATAAAAGGGTATGAATATTAATTGCGAAGTTAAAAAATTAAAAACTAAAAATTTAAAAAGTGTTTAAAAGGTTCTAAGAATTCAAGTTTTATTCCCAAAGGTAGGCAACCTAAAAGGGATTGTTAAAACTGCTGAAAAGAATTTTCTGGATTCTAGTTCAATTAGATTTAACTAGTGTCACCTGGTTTGTTAAAATGGGTACAAAACACAATGTTAAGCAGCCTGCATTAAAAATGAATCCGGCAAATTGATACATATCTGTAACAAGGCATTTAACAAAATACTAAAAAGACTCATGAATTTTGCTCTATATTTGACTTAAAAGAAAATAATGAACGGAACTGACAAAACTGGAATTCTTAAGTAAGTCTAAGTAAAAACTGCAAAAGTGTATTCCATCTCCAGCTCTGGGATTTCCCCTTTCATTTTTAAAGAAACAGAGCTCTTAAACTTACTAGTCCTTTCTGATATTTCTTCATTTCTACTGAAAGCATCATTTTTCTCAGTCTCAAAATTTTGAAATTGTCCTGACTTCTGCCTAGGTAGGTATACTCTTGCCTACCTTCTCACGAACTCAAGTGAATCACCAATTTTTCCAATTATTTCATCACAATTGCAGGAACAAGTCACAGAATTACAGAGGCAAGGGGACTCCCATAAGCCATCTATTTCAATTCCCTACTTTTACAGATGAAGAAAACTGAGAACCAAGAGGTAAAAGGATTTACTTGATCAAAGTCCCAAAATAGAAAGTGGCAGATTTAGGGCCTGATTCCTAGACATCTTCCCCCAACCTTGGTTTTCTCTCTTAGACACTCTCCCCCTCTGTACTTCTTCCTCTTTAGTAAGAAACTTCATCACCTATTGCCAACTGTTTCATTATTCCAGTTTTACTTCCTTAAAAACTTTCCACAGATAACGCTCCACCATTCAAAAATCTAAAATTATTCCTTATAGACAACTGAATAGGCTTATTTCTTCTGCTGGCTTTCCAAAAACACTACACACACACATACATAAATACATATATATGGTATATACACTTTGTTACTTCACAAAACAATCTCTCCTAGGAATCACGCCATTCCTCACTGACAACAAGACACCTCTCCCACAGCTGGCTCCATGATTTTCCTCACTGTTCTCTCAACTTTCATCTAACTAACTTACTATTTTCCTCCTTCTTTAAGATCCTATGCAAAGTCTTAACTTTTTCAATAAGTTTATCCTTATAACACTTCCACTTGATCTCTATCTTCATTCATTCGTTTTGGCATTTACTGTGTATACCGTACAACTGAAACTTGATAATTAGCTATCCTATCTAGGTTTAGAACAGTTTAACATGTTGAATGCAGAGCTCCGTCCTAAGAGTTCTAACCTCTTATTCCTTCATATATATACATACTCTCACCCTTACTTAGCACTACAGATAAGCAACCTTTGGAGGGTGGTTTGAGAGACATCTTTACACCAAATAGCAACTAACAAAAAAGAACTAAGCAGATAGCAGGTGCTCAGTACATTTTTAACTGACTTGAGTAGTACACTAAGAAAATATAATTTAATTACTTCCTATCTTTCAGTATTCCTGCCCAAAGTCTCAATGTGACTCATCCTTTAAGATTTCTCATTCAACATTAATTCAACACCCACCCATCTTCTTTATAGCATTTTAAATTTTAGTTTTTCTAATTATCAAATTAATAAATGCCTAATATAGCAAATATAATTTCTAAATATTAAAAAAATGGAAAAATACACATACTTTTCCCATTTGGAGGAGATAATTTCCATCTAGCCATTTTTAGAATCTTTTTCTTTATTTCTAAATCCTCTGATTCTGACATCCCTATAATTTGCTAAAATTGTTCTCACCAAGGCCACTAATAATAATTCTTGCTCAATTCAAAGGACTATTCTCATTCTTTATTTTTCTTTACCCCTAAACAGTACATCGAAAACCTCATTTCCACATTTCTCTGGACTTTATTAACACCATACTCCCCTACACTTTGGATAAACTTTCTTGGTAGCATTTAGAAGTTAGCTTGCTTTCTTTATAGGCTTGGTTTAAAGGCTTGGTTTTCTCAGAGTCCTAGCCTCCTCTGTCTCTTCACTCTCACATTCTCACTCATCACTTCAACGACTTTCAGAAGTTTAGACTACCATCTACACACTGATAACTTCTACATCTGGATTTCTAACTTAGACCTCATTAGTGAATTTGACCTTTATATTCAATGTCTTATATTCAATGTCCTTTAGGCACCTAAAGCCCCTGACATGTCCAAAGTGAAATTTATTCCCACAAGGATCCTGTTTCAAGGATTCCCTTTCTCAAGGAATACTACTAATGTCTATGCATTTATACAAGACAAAAATCTGGAACGAACCCTCAGCTCTTTCCTACTCTCACATATAATCATTCACTTTTGTCAATTCTATCTCAAAATCATCTTCCCAATCTGTCTAAGTCCTCTCCAGTTCAGCATAATTCCCATTCTCTCTCTGCCAATACCCAGTAATCAGGCCTAATCTAATTCATCTCAAAGAGATCTAAGAAAAACTGTAGCCAATTGGTTTCCTGGATCATAGTGCAACTTTCTTCCAATACATTTTTTGATACTGCTACCTAAGTGAACTTCCTAAGAAATATACATCATTTTTTAAAACTTTTAAATGATTTGCCATTTCTCTTAAATTTCAAAACACCTATAAAGGAGTTCATAACTCAGCCAACTGCTTACCACTCCAGCCACATATTAAGACATTTTTCCTCTGTTCTAGACATTCTGGTCTGATTCTTCATTCCTCAAAAACTCCAGTCTATTATTTTTATTACTATAGCTTTAGACAACATTATACTATCAAATAGAGCAGATTCTTCCTTATTTCATTTTTGTTTTCCCAAAGTTAGCTTTCTCAACTGCATAACAGCAGGTACATATATTCTCAACTGTTGTCCTTTTGGATAAATTTTAGAATCCCTTTGCCAACTGTCACCCACCATTCTCACTAAAAAAAAAAAAAAAAAAAAAAAATACAAGTAACACAGCATTAAAATCTACCCTTGATGTATACTTACAAATTCCAAGACACAATTTGCCATCCAAATGCCTCTCTTAAGCAGTATATAACATATTAGGAATTGTAGGTTGAACAAATGTTAAAAGGAAAAAAAAACCATAACAGAGTCAATCAACCACCTGTGAAACTCTGGTTGGCTGAGATCACACCTTTGTTGTTTAGTGATAGTATTTGTTTTCTTTAGTCCAGAGCATAATATTATACAATGGATAACTGCAGGTTATATTTTTATCTTAATCATATTACTTAAAATACTGGTTTTACATCCACAAAAGTAATATAAAATTTCCTCTTTGAATGAAATGAGACATCAAAAGCAAGTGAAAATGTCTTGCTATATTCTAAGGAGCCTTCCAGGAGGATCTGGCTCAGGAGTAGAATAAATTCAGCCTAAGAATATATATTTCATTCTATCCCCACAAAGGGAAAAATTGTTTCTCAAGCAAAAGATGTATTCTTGCATGTTTATCATGGTGCTGCTGTCAGGACTGGTTTTGGATTTTATTGGTATTCAAGATAAAGTTAGGAGGAAGCATCTGAGTGGAGCAGTAGCCTTCACTCTGTCCAGGGCTAAGCTTATCCTTTTCACAAACATCAAGCAGGAAAAAGTCTGTCATTTCACAGTAAATAATAAGTATTATGTATTTGTAACTATCTGGCCACTGCTGTTAGTAGAGAGAACTGATTAAGAAAAACGACTCTAAAGGCAACTGTCTAGGTTTGAATCCCAACCAGTGACTATCGACTAAATGACTACTGAAAAAACAATCTATCACTCTCTCTATGCCTCAAATTCCTCATCTATAAAATGGGGACTCTGGAATAATGGAATCTTCTTTAATGGACTTTGTATTAAATGAGTTAATGCACATAAACTGCTTAGAACAGGATCTCTTCTATTATAATAGTTAACAGCTATTGAATATTTTAATATGTATCTAGCACCATACAAAATGGTTTATTGATATCATCACACTATATTTCACACATTGAAAAATAAGTTTCTCCTATGTCCAAAGTAAAAATGAAACTGATTTTAGAGAACCATATAGAAACACATCTATTTTCTATAAATGAAACTTACTTTTGCTTCAAAACTGCTCTGAGAGGATCTTTCTGTCCCATGGTATACTGAGAAATAAATATGTCATTTGCTGCAAAATCAAGACAAAACAATATATTTCAAATTCCTGAAAATGTACTAAATTTTAATAAGCTACTCAAAAAAACATTTTAAACTAAAAGAATGTTTTAGGAATTCAGCAATAGGATTTCCCAATAAAAAAGGCAACAAATTATAGACTAATAAAGAACTGTAACTCTAGACCCAAGGGGGAAAATTATATCAAAAACAGCTGGGACCAAACTGGAGCCTTTTCCTCAAACTTAAAAAATAACTTCTTAGGTTAAATAAAACCAACTACTTAAAGATGTCATTAACTGGACCTCCGCTGGTGGTGCAGCGGTTGAGCACTGGGCTGTGAAGCTGCCCACAGCCTCTGCAGCACTGGTTCGATCCCCGGGCACTGGCAAGGGTACCACATGGCACGCAGACCTCTCCTGCCAAACCTGCTGCTCCCCTCAGCAGTGTGTTTCATAGGTCTGCCTATTCTGTTCCCCGCTCTGGCTCTGGTGAATTCTCTTACCCTCCCATGCTTCTGAATGTACCCAGTGCTTGTATAAATAAATAAATAAATCCTTAAAAAAAAAAAAAGATGTCATTAACTAAAATTTTTCAAAGCATATTTTTATCTATTATTTTGCCAAAGAGTATTCAAAATTAATAAATTGATATCTAATAGCAAACCTGTACAATAGATTGGTAAAATAAAATTACCTTTACCATTTCTTAACTTTGGAGATTCCATTAACAATTAGTGTTAATAGAAGGAATATTAGTTTGGAAGGAAGAACTAATTAAAAATTAAAATAAGAAGGGAAGGGGAGGCCTCCCTGGTGGCGCAGGGGGTTAAGATGCACCCTATGAAGCTGTCCGCAGCCTTTGCAGCATGAGCTCGATTCCGGCCAGGGAGCAATCCACATGGCGCAGCAGACCTCTCCTGACTCGCCCACTGCTCCCCTCAGCAGTGTACTTCGGTTAATCTGCCTGTTCTGTTCCCTACTCTGTCTCTGGTGAATCCTCTCACCCCCCACACTTCTGGCCTGTACCCCAGCTCTTGTATGCATAAATAAATAAATCTTAAAAAAAAAAAAAGGGAAGGGACCCAATGGACTATCATAGCAAAGGATTATTGGTGATGGGCATGGTGTGATAACATACATAGGTGTGAAACTATACCCTTAAAACATAAACAGCGTTGTCAACCAATAAACATAATTAAAAAAAAAACTGAAGCTATTTTAAGAATGTCTAAAATTAATGAATGTAACAAAAATTTTAAATTCTACCCTTACAAAGAAAATTCTAATAAGTTACAAGACAGAGGAATCATGAAATCATGCTAAGTGAAATAACTCAATAAAAAAGGACAAGTATTTGTATGATATACAGAGAAATTCATCGATGCAGAAAGCAGAATGGAGGTTGCCAGGGGCTAGAGGGAGAGGGGGATGGAGAGTTAATGTTTAATGAGCACAGAGGTTTCAGCTGGAAAAGACAGAAAAGTTCTGAAGATGGACGGTGATGATGGCTGCACAATATAAATGTACCTAATGTGGAACTAAACACTTAAAGATGATAAATTCTTATGTATAGTTTAGATTTTATGTGTAGTTAGATTAGAATAAAATGTAATATATATTTTAACACAATAAAAAAAACCTCAAGTATATCCTTTCACCTTTATGTCTGTTGCTCTCTTCCATTTTATCCAAAGGCAACCTTTGCACTGCAACATCTTTGGAAAAATCCTTTGGGATATGAAAGAAATGAAAGGCTTAATAAATTTTTTTAACTTAATTTTATATATTTTTTACATCACTTTTCATTTTTGCACAATGTATGCATTTTCATCTTGGCTATTATTCCCCACACAATTCCCACCCCCCTTATTTTGACTCAACTCCCTCCTTCCCTCCTCACCTCCCCGCGTGTTTCTGGTTTATAGTTGCTTGTTGATTTTGATTTTTACTTTATTATAATTAGTCTTTTTCCTGGTCTCTTATCGGCTTAATAAATTTCATGATTTATTACTGATTAAGTACCATTTACTAGCTATGTGACTACTATGTTCCAGTAGGGCAGGATTACATGCTTTATAGACTTAATTTCTGGGACCACCAAAAAGCTTAGGTACCCTGAGGCTACTCAAGAATTTGAGTGAGAAATGAGCTAACAGACAAGTGAATGAATGAGTACATGAATAAACAAGCAATTGTAGCCCTGAAATTCAGACTCAAATCCAGATTTGCCACTTCTAGCAGAGCAAGTCATGAAACATCTCAAATGCTACAGCTAAATGTGAAAATATGACTGAGTCAAATGGAGTACAAGAGGATTGTCAAATGGCACAATAGCAGAAATTAATCACAGTACTCTTTGTCACCGAACTCGTAACATAGTCTCAGAAGGCTTCTCTAAATAGGTGACACCTCTTGGCAAATAGCTTTCTGCTCACATGTATAATCCTAGACTTCAGCTCTAAGATTCTATTCAGTGCTGACACCCTAACTTTCTAAATACTAGATTTATTCAACAATGTTCTTCACCTGCTTGAGACATACCTTTTCTCTTTTTCTGCTAAATTAGAAAAGGGAAAAGAAAAAAATCATAAAAGAAAACTGATCCGAAGTGCTGGCTGACAACAGGCATTAAGTTCCAAAAAACAGCTAATGAGATTACCAATACTATAGAATGCATTTGGGAAAGTAATATGAAGAAATCAGCAAGAATCAATACAAATCACTAAGGAAAAAAACATCGCACATAAATATGTCACTTGCAGGGCCTCCCTGATGGCACAAGGGGTTAAGAGGCAACCTATGAAGCTATCCACAGCCACTGCAGCATGAGTTCGATCCCCGCCCAGGGAGCTACCCACATAGCATAGCAGACCTCTCCTAAATCGCATGCTGCTCCCCTCAGCAGTGTATTTCAGCCATTCTGCCTGTTCTGTTCCCCACTCTGTCTCTGGTGAATGCTCTCACCACACCCCCCTCAACACTTTTGGCCTATACCCCAGTTCTTCTATGCATAAATAAATCTTTAAAAAATAAATAAATATGTCACTTGCAAAAGAACACACATTTATAACCATATACATGAAAAAAGTTTCTGCTTCACTAGTAGTAAAATGAAAAGTAAAACAACCTGTTGAATCTGCAAAGATTTCTTGTTTAATACTTCAATAGTGACAGGGCCTCCCCAGTGGCACAGCAGTTGAGCGCTGGGTTGCGAAGCTGCCTGCAGCCTCTGCAGCACCGGTTCAACCCCCGGCTGCTCCCCAGCCACCGGAGGAGGGTCCCACATGGCGCCAGACCTCTCCTGTGGCCTGCTACTCCCCTCAGCAGTGTACTTTAGTCTGCCTGTTCTGCTCCCTGCTCTGGCTCTGGTGAATTCTCTCACCCTCCCGTGCTTCTGACTGTACCCAGTGCTTGTATAAATAAATAAAAATAAATCTTAAAAAAAAAAAAAGCAAACATTGTACAAAAATGAACAATGATGTAAAATATATATAAATAAATAATTTTTAAAAATACCTCAATAGTGATAAAGATGGGGGGGGTGGAATTCCACTAATTCCACTTTTAGTTAAACTGAAAGTCTTAAACCTTGTTAAACTGAAAGTCTTATTGTATGACCAAAACATATATTTTTAATCATATATTTTCAGCATTATAAATAAAATGGTTAATTGACAATTTCATTTTGCTTCTTAGAGACCCTGCCAAAAAAAAGTCAGACATACAAAAACTTTATAATAGTTTGAATGATATAAAATCACGCCTCACTTTTTTTTATTATGTTTTTATAGTTCCTTTTCCACTTACTTAACATGTTAAGTCTCTAGAAAACTCTTTATAACAAAGCTCTTTTCAAGTACAGTATTTCAGCGGTCATTAACTTACTGATGGGCTTTTTCCCCACTATTTAAACCTTTAAATATTTCAAACACTGTTCAAAACATGTATCTTGGTTAAGTGAAATTCAAATAAAAACAAGTCCTGTTGTTAAATGAACGATTTCGGACATATTATTTGAAAGTACTGAAAATTTTAACATGAGCATAATTAAGAATCCCTTTGCTTACACTTTCTGGTACAGTGGAATTTTCTAATGGAGGCTGATAATTCCTCGCAGAAGTTAAGTCTGATGAACCTAACAAAACAAAGGAGTTAATTTAAGTGATTTTTAAATCAGAAATTGTACGGGCAATGCATGATTCAAGAATTACAAATTCCATATTAATGTGAGACCTACACTGGAAGCCACTTTTCATAGAAAAATCTTAAAATGTAGCTAAATATGTCCCACTGAAGGTTTTTACAGTTAATAAGGGTCAGTACTCAAAATCAAGTGAGATGATTAAAAATGTTTTAAAATATTTCAATACACTGCTGGATTGGTTTCGAAAGGTCTTACAACACTAATTTACCTATTTCCGCGCCCCTAACAGTCTCCAGGAGCTACACCGAAAACAGTCCCTAATAAATACAAAGGGTACTTTAAGTCAAGTCATGAGCTCTGGGTAGAACTATTTGCCAACAATAAAATACATATATGATATTAAAAAGTAACAACAGCAGGACTAAGTTGTGCTGTACCTCTCTAAAAGCAGCACTGTAAAGCATTTTGTTGTTGTTGTTTTGGCATATATGTTCATTAACTTGATCCTCACAACTTACCAGTGAAGTGGGTAAAGCATATGCTATCTTCATTTTCACTATGTTCCAGACAGGTTAAGTGAACTGGAACACAGAAGTGTTTTTCTACTATGCCAAACTGGACAGCACTACGCAAACAGAAGGTGGAGCATTTCGTTAAAAGCCCTACTAGTGGGGAAAAATTAGTGCATAATACAAGTTAACTGTGTTTATCACACATATGAACAAGAACAAAGCAAATCTAAATGTTTCATTCATTACACTTATTTGCTATTATTCGATGCAGACTGTACGTGCGTGGCCATTTTTCCAGAGAAATGAGCCAGTTTTCAAATTCCTGCATAAATTAGACATTTCTTACGTTTGGGAATGTAAACAGTGAATGTCCTCTAAAGTTTGAAACACAAAAGGAAATTATAATTTACAAAAATGAGAACTGGTTGAAAAACTATTTGTAAGCACATACCACGTAACGTTCCATTCAAGTTAGTCCCCGTTCTAACAGGAAGACGTTTATTTGCAGACAACGCTGGAGGAACACAGGACAACTCATCTTTCAGCAAAGCCAAATTAGCTCCCCGATTTGGAGTCACTACCTCACGAAGTCTCCTCGCTGGTATTTTAACCTTTTTTTTCTTTCCCGGGCTAAATCCAGAGTCTTTCATAGTACTGGTAACAAAACTAGTCCCACAGTTCTGAACAGAACTTTCTTCGGGGTCCATAAAACTTCAGAACATCATTTTCACCGCTTTGAAAACTTGTGGGGCTGGGGAGAGGTGCGGAGAAGCGGAGCCGCGAAGAAGGATGAGAAAGACAATGTGAATTTCAAGTGATTTTGAAACGCGCAGTCACCTACTTTTAAATAAAAACAATGTCTAAAGTGATCCACAAAGTTAGACTTTTCCACTTGGTATTAAATCTTTAACCTAGGACTAGAGACCTCTAAACCATCATATTTACCGATTTATCCCATTCGCTCTATTAATGTAACTTGCCAGGGAATCTGAAAATGAGGCTGACAAGAGAATAGCCGCCAAACAATGATGAACCACAACACCGACTTCTCAACCCAGGGGCCGGCAGCACAAAATCAAACGGGTGTGGGAGCGGATTTGTGGAGAAGAGGGAGTCAAGCAGGTAAAACCAAGATGCTAATTTCTTTAAATCACCCCATAACAAGCGTAATAGCTTTCCTAGGGCACAGAGGCTCACACACCCCTCCTGTTGCAACCACACGAAACCTAGAGTCACCTCTCCGCGCCTCCACGACGCTCGGCAACCGCCCGGCACAGGTCTCACCTGACGCCAGCTTCAGCGGCCCGCGGGGCGACGCCCGCTTCCTTTCAGCCCGCCCTTGAGAAGCAACACGCATGCGCGCCAAGGAACGCGTCCAAAGCGTCCAACCAAAGAGCGAAGCGCTCCCCGGTCCCCTTCCATTTCCCTCCGGGTGGAAACTAACTCCGAACACGAAATGTTCCTAACAGCTGTAAATTTTTTTAAAGGAGTACCTTGCCACAAAAAAAAAAAAAAAAAAAGAATTGACTAAATCCCGAAAGAGTCAACGAAGACCTGCGGCGCTCTTGACCTGACTCAAAGTACCCCTTGCGTTTCTTAGGGACTGTTTTCAGCGTCGCTCCTGGAGACCGTTAGGGACGCGGGAATAGGTAAATTAGTGTTATAAGTCCTCTCGACAGATTCCGCGTGATACAGGAGAAAAATTCAGAAATAGAGAACTTTGTTTAAGCATACGATCCAGCATTTAATTACCAGGATATTTTAGACTTCGTTGAGGATGACTGCTCTTCTCCTAGAAGCCACAGCTCCGTAACGAATCGGCGTCAAGGGTCTACCGGCTATTTGATATCGCCGCTCCCACGTGTTCTTTCCCATCCAGCGGCTGCGGCGCCCGCCCTGACCCCAGCCCTCCGCCCCTAGACTCGACTGGCAGCCTAGCCCCCCCAGCCTCGTACTGGTGTCGGATGCGAGAGCCTGTGCTGAAGTATGGTCTCTTTTTCTCTCCCTCAGAACCCCGGGTTCCCGGGCGGTGGGCGACAGGCGACTCTCCGGAGAGCTGGCTCTTGTCTCTCAAGGAGGCCGCCGCGTGCTTGGGGCTCTGGGGGTCTGTGGAGCCCGACTGCGCGGCCCCAGAGCGGGTTTAGAACCTGCCGGGGGAACGTGTGACAAGGGCGAAGGAGTTTGAGCCACCCTCATCCCGGGTTGGGTGAGTCGGGGTCTTGTTTTCGGACAGTGACACAGTTAGACTGTAAATCATCCACGCCATGACCTTGAGCAGACAGGCAAGAGACCCTCTCTCGACTGAATACCAGGACCAGCACCCCTTACTGGCTGGCGAGGGTCCCAGCCAGTACTACTTAGGCGTTTCTTTTTACGTTTACTAGAGGCTTTGAAACAGTTTAATCAACGTTAAAAAAAAAAAAAGTAAGCTGATGTAAAAACAAAATTAAAAAATTCGTTTTTACATCTCAGCTGTCTACTTTCATAGGAGATATCTAGAATTGAAAGGGAATTTAAGGACTCAACTTTGGAGAAGCTTTTAATTCTTTGCACCTTTATAAGTTTCTGTAATCATTTTTTATTTCAGTTCCATATCCCTCTTTATTAGACTTAGGTAGTAACTGTCCACAATTTGTTTAACAATGTAGGTGAATTAAAAGAATGACTGTCAGAGAATTAGGAATTGTAGATTATTTAACTCCCTTGTTTTCTAAGTAAACTTAGATGCCAAAGAAAAAGTGACCTTTCCCCTATAGTCTCTTAAGATGTTAATGTAGCACACATTAATATGACTCAAATAAAAGCATTGATTTGAGGATCTTACAACACTGTTAATATCAGAGCTGGTGATAAAATCCAATAGACTTGCTCCCTTCCAGTCAGTGCTCAGAAGCTTATCTTTAAGCTGGCAAGTCATTACAACTGAAAGCAGTTTGCGATAACCTTTCAAAAATATTTTTTGCTGATTAATAATGAGTTAGGGCTGTCAGTTAATCAGCCATAACCTCCTAAATCTGCTACAAATAATTTAAAGTAACGAACATATGGCAAAGACACAGATAGCTCCTGAACAAAAATCATGGCTCACAGATTTTTCTTTCTTTCATTTCTTCTTTGTTGGCAACACTTTTACTTACTTGCTTTCTCTTTCCCACTCTCATATCTATATATCCATATAGACTTTTTATTTTTTGCTCAACTATTTGCAAGTAACTTGCTGGTGTCATGAACTTTAACCCTAATTTCTTCATTATGATTCTCCTTGAAAACAATCTGTTACATGGCTGCAGTAAAATTATCCCACCTACAAAGATAACATTCACATTTCTCCAATTATCAAAAAAAAAATAAATCCAAAAAATTTTTTTCAATAAAAGATCCAAATTTCACGTTGTGTTTAGTTGTCACAATTCTTGAGACTTTTAATCAGAATATCCCTCCACCACTTTGACTTTAGCACTCTGGAAGGACTAATCAGTCATCTTACAAATTATCTCACAGTGTGAATTTTCCTAATTATTCCATGATTAGAATCAGATCAAACAATTTTGGCAAGAAATCCACATGGGTAATGCTCTGTTTTTGTTGTATTTGTGATGCTAGGTTTAATCATTTGGATAAGATGGTGACAGATCTTTCCAATATAAAGTGACAGGTGTTTTTTTGTGATAAATAACTTTTGAGGCCCTGAATATACCTTCTTCCCCAACAATCTGTCACCTAGTGAGTTATCATATACTCCTGCTCCTTATCTGAATCACAAGAGTACCAATTACCAGTACCAATCATGCAGGAACCAGGAGCAATTATGTGAAGGTGGTCAAATTGGAAAAGAATTAAAAATTGGGTTCCAGTCCTAATACAAATTGGCATAATTCTAAAAAAGAAATGGCGCCATCTCTCTGTAACCTATTGTTTGTTTTTGTGGGACCCTGCAGGTGGCCCGGGAATGAATGGAGCTGCAGAAGCTGCGGGCAGCCTTGCAGCCCAGAGCTCAACCGCTGTGCCACCAGGGGAGGCCCTGTTTGTTTTTTTAATATCCAGAAATTTCTGGTAATTGGTTGTCTTTGTGATAGTCAACTGAATATACCTAATACCTGGAATGAAATTCATATAACATATGCTTAAGAATTGTAACATCACAATAGATTGACAAATGAATTTAACTTACTGGAAAGGAAGAGGCTATTCAAAATAGTAATTTAGCCAAAAAAGCTTAACTTTCCTTAAATAGACTATTAGAACTTGAAGGGGCCTCAGCAGTCATTATAATCCCCTCATTTTTCAGATAAGAAATCAGGCCTTACTGGAGACATTCAAGCAAAGGTTGGACAACTACTTTTCCAGAACAGAAAAGAAACTCATGCATCAGAAAAGGTTTGAGCTTGATGATAAGATCTCCCTTTACTCAAGTTCCCTGGTTTTATGTGATATTTTGTTTGGCACAGAAATAACTAAGTATTGCTATAATTTGCAATAAACCAGGGGTTATAGAATTCCTTATCCCTTCCCTCCCTTTTCAGGTTTTAGGGATATAACCAGAAGGCGATTCCTCATTGGCTATTTGCCTTTACAATAATAAACATCTTCTGTAATATCTGGGAATTAGTACCAAATAAAAGGGCAACCGTTGCTGCTACCTATTCTTACTATCAGGTAGTTTGTTTGGATGTTACTGTTAGTCAGCATAACCTGGGATGAAATAACTGCAAAATAAGAACCCCAACTAGCCAGTATTTGAAAACCATTTATTGACTTAATTGTCTCCATTGTTTTCCAGGAGCAGCTACATAAAAGTATACCAAAATCTTGATATTTGATTACTGGGAAGCACTTTAGAGATTTAGGGCAGGTTTAAGAAATTGCTGTTAGTGAGTTCAGTTGTAGTTCTTGGAAGATATTTGAAATATATTATTGAATTATTCTAGAGAAAAGGTAGTTACAATGTTAACATAGTGGTCTGTACAAGAACTATTTCTCTTTTACTTTCCATATTCTCAAGAGATAGATTATATTACTCATAATTATGAACTTCAACTTTGTTTAAATATAATTGTGTTAAGAGCAGTTAAAAGACAATACCAAGATGATAGTTTTTAAGAAAATTCATGCCATTGCAAGTGGGGAGTTCGTCATCTGTTTCTTGTCAGACTTCCCATTTACCATCATTTGTCACTCAGTTATATACCAAAGGGGAGTGGGGTAGTGTTGTTACAAGCCTCTGAAACTTACAGAACATATAAAGATTTCCAACTTTCTGCCTTTCTGACCTCATCTTGAAAAAGTCATGTGAATTGTAACCTGAAGATATACAAGGATGGGAATAGGAAAAAGAATCAGATTTTAGCATTACAGTCAGCAAACACGTCAGTTTCTAATGTGTTGTAAGGAAATCAATTTTTTTTTTTTTTTTTGGTGCAAGCTGTAGAAAATTTAGTTTGCTCCATGTGCTTGGAGAATACGCATATTTCAACAATTCAAGAGGCTAGAGTCTGACAGATGATCTTTCGTGCTTTTATAGAGAAGACTGTTGGTAAACCACATGCCTTATGCATGTTTTATTACCCTTTTTTTAAAACTTAGTATCTATTTCCACAAAAGCTGACTTACCAGTTCTTTGATCTTTCCAGGCTGTTCTCTGAATGGGAAGCCAAAAGAATTCTAGTTATGATAAACTCAACATTTACCACATTGAGTTATTTTTGGCAAGAATTACAAAACCAGACAACTTCATTTCTTTCCTTTTTTACTCAACTTTTTATTTTGAGGTTACTGTGGATTCACATGCAGTTGTAAGAAAAATTACAGAAATCCCAGTTTTCAACAATGGTAACATCTTACAAAAGAATAGTAAAGTATCAAAACCAGATACTAGTATTGATACAGTTAAGATTCAGAACTCATCCATTACAAAAGTCTCTTATGTTGTCTCTACAGCAACATCTCTTTCCTCTTTTTCTCCCAGACTCTGTAACTCCTGCCAATCATTAATAATGTTTTCTTTCTGTAAGTTTTTCATTTCAAGAATGTTACATAAATGGAATCATATAGTATGTACCCTTTGGGATTGGCTATTTTTCACTAAGCATAATTCTCTAGAGATTTGTCCAAGCTGTTGCATGTATCAGTATTTCATTCCTTTTAATTGCTAAGTAGTATTCCATGGTGGGCCAATTTGTTTAACCAGTTATTCATAAAAGAACATCTAAGTTTCTAGTTTTTTACTGTTAAGAATAAAGTTTCTGTAAAATTCATGTACAGATTTTTGTGTGACATGTTTTCATTTCTCTGTGATAAATGTCCAGGAATGCAATTGCTGGATCATATTAAATTAATACCAAACTACCAGAGTGTTTAT